AGGGTAGTTATCGCGTACTTAAGGGAACTAGTGGTTCGTTACCGCAAAATGTGGTGTAGAAGTTCTTAGAGTTTAGCTCTGGATAAATCCTTAACCCATGAAGTCCCAGCTTACAGAAAACATCTTTACTGAGTACCAGACTGCTGTCTAGCTATTATTTAATGGACTCTGTTGACTCAAGCATCATATCAAGTAGTTCCAAAGGGCCTAATAATTACCCAGTCAGTACCTGACCATTATCTAATGTTTTTATGCAACATAAAGTAAAGTACTACTGATTAGTTCCTGGTTAGTTCTCTAGTAACTAATCATGCATTCTCTAGAAGTTAATCAAATATTGTGTACCTTATTGTAAAATGTTACCATTCCTCTAACATTAACCGAAACCTGTGAAAGTTTATCTGGCTGACTATGGCTGATCTAAAATAATCAATTTATCTTAAATGTTTTTGCATTAAAATAAAGAAAACACTGCAATATAAACGATGGATTCAGGTGGATGCATTTATCTACCTTTTGATCGCTAAGCATATTTTTTTTGTATCCATTAACTTTTTACATTAAGAGACAAGACCTTTAATGACTTCATAGTAAAACATAAAAAAATACAACTGTAGAAACAAAAAAGGTTAAAGCCAAAAACCTGAATTAGTCAAATATTCTTATATGTATTTTCGTTAGCTTCAAACAGTTTTCTCGGCTTCCTACGAAAAGCAAAATTTAAAACCTTTAATTAGTTTTTTTTTTATTTAAGAAAGACTTTATATCCTTATACTTTTTTTTTCAGTAGACTTTCTATAGAATCCTAGAAAAGAGAAGCCCCTTCTCTAAAGCCTGCCAACCGATCTGATGTCTTAATAGGTTGTCTTAATGTCAATTTTGACTCTATTCTGTATTATTAAAAAAGAAATATCAACTTTAGACATTTAAAGTCTTAAAAAAAAATCACTTTAAAAATCTGAGGTATAAACTCCAGAGTGACGCCTATGTTCATCTTCTCTTGCAGCTGCTAGCTAATTTAATAATCTCTAATGAGATGATTAAAGTGCTCCATCCACTTTTATCCAGTGGCTGCTAGACAGCCTGGCACGTACAGATCCACTGTTAGTCAGCACTAAACTTCACATATCAACCTGACCTATTTTTGCTGTTCCATAGTTTTTCCATATTTATCTCTATGATTATTCCATTCAAAATAAACTAACATTTTATTTATGTTTTCCATGTTTTTTTTTTCTCCCATCTATCTATGCACAATAAAACCAAGCTTAGTTTTGGTTATCAGTTTGCCTTAAAAACAGTATGATGTCGTTACATCCAAAGGAAACGTGTTGAGCACATTCAGTTGATCTGTTTAACATCTTTTAAATGTAAACATGAAATCATATCATATAAAGCTGATGAGTAAAATATGAAATCTTCGTTCTTATTTTTAGTTAACACATTTCTAACATTTTAACTGAAGATACAATCACCAGATGCATCATCAACAAAAAAGACATACAACTAATTAGAAATAAATTAGTCCCCAAGTGAAGACCTGTGTAATGAGGTGGAATGGTACAGGAAATGATTAAGAAAAAGAAGAGCAAATAGGTGTTGAAAGCCAACAAATTAGTGTATAACCTCCAAGTATCAGCTGGTTTAATTTTAATCTCGGCCTACAGAAAGATTACTAAATAACTTATTGCAGTGGTACTTTGGGTGACATCAAAGTGAGGTGAATAGTGCAGCACCTAGACAGTTAATGGTTAACATGCTAAGAAAACATCCATTTGTAAGGCCCTTGCTGTATCGCTGATGTGTGACATAAAAAGGAAACAAACAAGAGAAAGTATATTTAATGCTTTATGTTAACTTGAAGCTTATCGAGTTAGCTCTGTTAAATATTTGCTAATAACCAAGATAAAGCTAAATACTAACATTAATCAAATTACTACATGCTTTTAATTTATTTCTTATTATAGTTAAGCTTTCTGATTCTTGATTACATTGATTTGGCAAAAGCCAATAGCTTCCTATTCCTAAAAACAAAGGTTATTACTATGTTTCTGAAGTTTATGTTCTGATTTTCCCTGTTAGAGCAGTAGTCTAGAAGTGGAAACACAGTTTCAACATAAACCAGCCACAGCCAAGTACTCCTTACTATATTTCTGACAAGGTTTAAAACAAAAAATTCCTGTGGAGCTTCAGAAAGATCTGGAAAAACCCTGTACTTTTTTTTTCTATTTAAAGCAATTTCTGATTAATGCACGTCAATGGTATATACTTATAGTAAACCTGTAAGACTACACTGCTGAACAAAAAGAAACAAAGTAAAGTTTGTTCAATTTTTGCTGCAAAAGATTTAACTATGAACCCAAAGATTAAACAAGTTTGGGTTTCCAAGAAAGACAAAAAACCCAAACACACAAGAAAGAAAACTTCAAACTAGTTTCAGAGAAACTGCTGGAACAACCAAATACTAACCAGAGCTTTATGCTATTGAAAACCTCTTTAAAGTACTAAAGAACAGAGTGCTTGAAAAACTAACCTTCAAAGAATTTAAGGTAGTTTTAGTGAAAGAATGGGACACGGCTATACATGGGGCATGCTGCTATAGGCTTAGAATGCTGGAGGACATAGGGACCCAGCTTCATCATATCTCTTTTCTCCAATTCTTCAGCATTTGATAGTTCAATCTCTACCTTTAACTTAAACTCTCTCTGCTTTTTCTCATAGTAGCTTCATCTGGTCTGTTCCTGTTTGGCGGTGACTCCATCCTGGAGAGAAATACCAGCTGTGTTGCTGCAATCAACACCTTTGTTTATAGATGTTGGAGCTTGGCCTGTGTTTCACTGTAGTCCTGTTTCTCTGACTGTGACTAACTGGAAGTGCTCTCTTCATCCTCTGACATGGGAGCTGGCTCGGAGCTCGTCTGCCTGGCTGTCTATTTCCTTGACTGTGGAGCTGGTTGACAGTTGCCTTTTGTAGCTCCTCCTCTTTTTCTATGTCTGCTTTGGTCTTCTAGATTTAGTCGGCCTCAGTAGATGGCCACTCACACCGAGCTGGTTCTGCTGGAGGTTTTTTTACTGTTACAAGGGAGTTTTTTTCTCTCTGATTTCGCTACAAGCATACTTGGTGTGACGGACTGCCTTCGAGTCAATGATTCGATGCAATCAGCTGGTGTTCCTGACTGTATTATCGGGTTAAATTGTCTCTGTAAAGTGCCTTCAGATGACGTGTTGTGAATTTGCTTTATGTAAATGAACTGAATTGAAACTGAATTAACCCTTTAAAGCCTGATCCAAGAATAAAACAAAACAGAAAATTAATTTTTTTTGGTTTGAAGTCCTTATTTGGCTTTTTAACAAAATATGTAAAAAGAAAAAACAGGAATACATTTTTGATATTAATAATTTATTACTATGCGATAAGTCTTCTGCCCTCTGTTATCAGGTATATCTGATTGTGCACAATAGGATTTTCAAATATGATACATTTGGCATTACAGGGTTAAACTGTTGACATCTGGTGTTATTTTGATATTTTTGGCCCATTGGAAATGCATTGTACTAAGAAAAAAACTATGCATTAATCACTCATTCTTATCTTCTAAGTTTCTCTTCTGGGTGATTGGGTTTAGTTGAAACAAATCTATAATTTTTATTAATAATTCACAATTAAATAATTCACCATTGAATCCTTACCTCTGCCTCTCTTTTCATGGTGTCCACCCTGCTGATTAGCTTACAGTAGGCCTGGAACAGCAGAAGCAGCTGGAAATGCAACTTGTAGAGTCTGCGACACAATTCCAGCTCCTGCAGAGACAAACCCGGAAGAATCTTCAGGACCATCTGCACTGATTACTCTGATTGTCACATTAATAAATGAGCAGAAACCTGGGTTAGAGGTGTGGGAGAAACTTAAAATGTTAACATGGGGTAGAGCAAAAAGTATCATTCAGTTTGGGCTACGGAGGTAGAGAGTGAGGAAGCTACTATGATCACTGATGTTTGTCACCACATGTTGTGGTTCAGACAGAAAATGGCCGACAAGATGGATGATTTAACTACAATCTCAACCTGAAAAGCATGGATGACAGAGAGCAGGGTTTGAACAGAAACAGCGATGGAAAACAAAAAAAAAAAACATGCAAAATTGAAATGAAACAAAAACAAACTTGCTGATTTAAGCTCTTTTTTTTTTAGGACAATTAACCTACAATCACCTACACAACAATAGAGGCAAGACATCTGCTGTTTGCATACAAAAATCAATGTAGGGCAAAAAAAAAATGCAAGACTGATCTGCCTGTCCATGGATAACAAATATTAAAAAGCAGAATAGCCGTGTGTTCTGGTTGGGTGGAAAATGGAGAGGATAGAATCGGGTTACATGACAAATCAAAGCAGAAACAAAGACAGAGGTAGAAAGGTGGCGAGGTATGAGCAGAGGTGAGATGGTCAGTGTTTTGTCCGGCTGGCATCGTTATTGAAGTCTAGAATATGAGAACCACTTACTGCTAGATTCTCCATTTGCTAAGCAAGAAGGTGAGCAGGTCACACGCACACAAACACACACATACATATAAACACAACAACAAACAAAACAGAAGGAGAGAAAGACCAAGAATTAGTGAGCTTTAAACATGACAGCTGAGATATGTTGACCTGAAGGTGGGCGAGCAGCGCTTCGCCACCTTCACTGCACACAGTTCAGCCGAGGCTGGAAACAGGTGAGCTGACTTTAACAGAAACCAACACTTGATCTATGAAAGCCACGTCCCAGCAGAGAGTAAGAGAACAGGTATATTACAGTGGGAGCTAAAGACAGAGAGGAAGGACTAGAAAAAGCCCACTAGATGTGCTGCTTTCGATTTATTTTAAACTGAAAATCAGTTAGGATGAAGTGTGAGTAGGGGTCCATACAGCTCTGCAGGGGCCCAGGATGGACACATAGCCTTGCAAACATTTTTACATTTAGTCACAATAAAACCACAAACATCTAAATATAATGATATTTAACCCTTTATAGGGCACTCAGTGAAATACTTTGAAAATCTATATTTCAAGCCAATAGTTTTACTATTACCTTATTACCTTTGTAACATAAAAATATGGATATTTTGATGGCAAACGTTAATGTCAATGTAATAACAAGAAACGCCAACTTGCCCGAATATATTAAGAAAAATAATAAAAGTGCTTCTATAATAAATTCATTAAAAAAAACAAAAAAACAAACAAACACATTTTTGTTTGGTACAGGACAACCTAAGAGGCAATAATGCTGATACTGGCACTTCTTTTTTAGTTTATAAACCTAAATATAATTGTTAACTAGTCTTATTAACTTTATAACTTTTCAATAAGCTTTTCACCTTTTTTTCTTGCCTTGATAACTTTTTTTTTTTTTTACAACTTAATTGACAGTAGGTAATATATCATTCAAGGGCTCATCTAAGATGTAAAGCCATGTAGCAGTATCTTTGCTGAATGGCTGGATATAGATATTGTGCTTCTAGACCTCACTGAGGGAGGGGGGGACTCCATTTTTAAGGGGTATGCAAGTAATTGACGATGGTAACTTGCCTTATAACAAGTTAAAGATGTCGTATATCACAGAATAAAGCAATTAATCTTTTCTATTAGAAAAAACAAATATAATATTAGAGATAAATAAAAAATTACATTACAAGAAGTCAAAGAGGAAATCCAAAAAAAAAAAAGATTTCTTTTACTGGAGTTAAAATGTGGAAGACGACTAAATCAGATTTAAAGTCATCTACAAACTTTCTTAGTTTCAAAAAAGCTGTGCAAAAAAAAACAGTATATTTTCTTGTATTATAACTAAATAGTTTATTGTTGTTAAATAAAGTGTAGCTAATTTGGTTTTATGAAGGCAACATTCATGAGCTTTTGTTTCAGGCTAAACTGTTCAGCCACAGTATTGTTTATGTAAACAAAATGTGTCGTGTTTTGTGTCTCTGAATAAACTTAAACTAAACTAATGTTTAATACGCCAACACAACCAAGTAGATAATACATTTTTTTATTTTGTCAGAGAAAACGGGGAGCAATTTGAAGCTGAAATATATCCAACCCTTCTCTATCTCAGAGTATTCTTTGGTTAATTGAACCAGCTGCAAAAAACTGAAAACCTTCCAATATGTGCATGGACGTCCCCCAAAACAGAGAAAAAGCGCTTTAATCAGAGGCAGCAAAGAGGTCTAAGTTACTGTGGAGGAGCTGCAGAAATTCACAGATTAGGAAAGAGAAACGTATGACTTGAGACATGTTTTTCTACACCCAACAGATCGGGCGTTTAAGGAGTTTCCCACAAAACATGTTGGGAATGGTCCAGTCAGATGAGACCTCGATTTAACATAATGGTCTGCATATAATGTTCTTGGAGCAAATGGCCATGGATATAGATCCCCATATGGAAACAGAATGGTGGCAGTGTCATGCTGTGGGGATATTAGGTCTTTTACAGCTTCTGACAGGTTTTCTGTTGGGACGTCCATGCTGAAAAAAAAAACAAGCCTGAAACAAAGTTTTTGCATTCTAGAATGAAACAGGAAAAAAACCCCACCAAAATTAGCAATGGACTGGTTTAAATCTGACCAAAGTATTAACAAAAAAATGGCACTGCAAAGTTTGCTTAACTTTCCCTCGGTCTAAAATAAAAAAACAAATTAAATACATTTTTGTGGCTTTAACATTTAAAAAGCTGCAGCTGTTTAGGAAGTGTGAAAACTTTAGCCTATGGAGCTGTTAAAAATCTTTGGACCCCAAACAAGAGAGCATTAGGTCCTACCTGTGCATGAGTGTTCGGTCGCTGGCTGCTGTCTTTGTCCCCAAATGTTTTCTTGCAGTTTTCCAGCCACTAAATGGTTAAGAGGACACAAACATGAGAGAAAACTGTTAGAAAAAAGAGGAAAAAAGCCTGTAACAAAAGAAAAAAAAAGGAGCTCCAAGTTTTTCCCCCTGCTTTAAATATGCCTTTATTTTAATGTGAGTACTGTAAAGGTTGGTTAAAGCAAAGGATTTAATAAGAAGGTTGTACTTAGCAAATTAGACAAGGCCTGTTCCTGAGAACGGGACGGTATCTAGCCCTCTAGGGAACATTGCTGTCTTATTCAATTAGTGCTTTGCATCCCAGAACCTCTGCAATCTCATTTCTCCGTTTCCCCTCCCCCTTCTTTGTTGCTCCCACCCCTCACAGCTTTTCCTGTCTGGCCCTCTGTAACTGATTTAGGAGAGCTCAGAGTTATTTTTATCCCTCAGAGCAGGATGATGCAGACAGAAACGGTAGCAGAAACTCCTCATACCCAGTTCTGATTTGTCCTCATATGAGAGGCTGGACTTATCTTTTGCTGGATCAGCTATTTTTTTTGTTTTGAATTGTCCTGGCTGCTGTGATCTCAGAGATATGGAAAAATATTGATGTGCTTTGGAAGCTCATCCCTCTAAGGCTGAGATTATGATGCAGTTTAATTGTTTCTCTCCCTCCCTCTAACACACACCCTGACAGCAGCAGAAACTGCAGCTCTGAGGCAGTCTTCAAAGAGAATAAGGAAGCATATACAGCAGATTAGAAATGCGCTGAATGGTGCAGGAACGTACGAGCTCTGCTGCTTCTCTCTTGGCATTGTAGGTGTCCAGATGCTCCTGCAGCTCCAGCACACTGAACTTCAAGGTCTCCAAAAGTCCACAAGAGACCAGCTAATACAGCAACAAAAACACAGCAGATTAAAAACATACACTTAGAAAGATGATGGTTTTTCTCAAACAATCAGACTCACAGTTTCAGCATCCAGGAGAACAGTGGGGCACTGTGAATGAGACGTCATGACCTCAAGCGAGCTGAGGAACTGATTGCCCATTCGCTGGAGCCTTTCCCCCAAAAAGCGGACGGATGAATGTGTGATAGAACCAAACTTCCTCTGGATGTTCTATTATATAAGGATTAGAAGAAAAAACAATAAGTCTGTTTTCTTTTTTTTTTTTAGATGCACATTCACAAAAAAAATACAAAATTTGAGGTGTATTACCTCAAAAAGTCGGGAGAACACATGGAAAGTGTAAACAGCAGAGGACCCGTCCGTGTCTGACAACATCTGGTTGACATGGCAACGCCAGGCGTCTTCCTCATTGTCGTAGGCAACGGGCTGGAACGCTGCCAGGATGGCTGAGAGGAAGGGCGAAGGGGGCGGAGAGGCCTGGATCTCTGAGAAGCCATCTGCGTCACCTTCATCTTGACTGAAACACACAGAGGAGCCAATGAGCTGCGCTCCGACATGCTGCACGCTCCTTCACTGAAGGGCAAATGTAAACACACACACGCGCTGGTTTTCCCTGCAAGTAAACAACCTCAATGCTGTTTTTCCTCATGTCGCATTTCACTGTACGCTCTAATCCAAGGCAGAGTTTACATAATAACAGCAGATATTAGCATTCTAGCATCAGGCAAACGCCCCCCCCCCACCACCACCACACACTCACATGTAGATACTTACAGGCCTGATGGACCAAACAGCCTGAAGAAGCAGACAGAATATAGATATCTGAAGCCTGCGCTGCTGATCGCTGCAACGGACACGGTCTCTGTCCTCATCCTCACCCCCCAACCAACGATTCTCCAACCCCCTCAACTCTCTCCCCTCGTCTGCAGCCTGACTGTGCAGCAACTGCTAACGGCACAAGCGCACCGCACTCTCATCCCACACAGGACTGCAGAGTGCTAAAAATCTACACACACTGACACACACTTCTGCATGCCAACCCGGCTCCCGGCTGCACGATCTAGTGAAATGTAGCTACAGTTGGTTTTATCTCGCTGCCTCCAACTCATAAATCCACATCGCACATATGACTGGATTGTCCTGGGCAGCTTTTAATCGCTGACTCCACGCTACTTGCATGCTCACGTTTACCTCCACAGGCCTTCCTCAGCTGAGTAATAGAGCTGCAGTTACATAATGTGTTAGTAAAGACGCTATGTTAGCGAGTAATTTGCTTCAGAATGGTTTCCATCTCTTTGGAGGATGCCCTTCAGTCACAATTGGCCCACCTTCAGAAGTAAAATGGCCTGAAGCCAGCCTGCCTTCATATTCTCTGGAATGGCTGCCAAAAAAGATGTTCACTGTTGTAAAATGTGAAGCCTTTAACCTACAGGAGAAATCGAAATTTTCCTCAGTAGCCCTGAAACGTCTTTACTATTAATAGTCTGCAGTTTGTTGTGTTGCACACTAAAAATGGATAAAAAATGATGGATAAAAATGTCTGAAAATGGATAAAAACTCGGATTTAATGTCGCATTTGGGCTCTGTCAGAATAGTTAAATTCATACCAGTGATTGTTTTTTATTGTTGTTTTTTTTAATTTCATTTGGCATGTTAGGTTTTTCCTGATCCCAGAAACTTTATAAAACCTGATCGCTAACACTCTTCAGTGTGGATGTGATTCAGGAAAAAAATTTAAAAAACATGATTTAAGATTAGCTGTGTTTATAAACAGTGGTTTGTTAAAAGTCAGGGCTGGAAGGTTCTTCTAAGACGAGACCGCAATTTCGATAAGTTGTTAAGACGCGTCTGCAGTTCATTCAGGCAGCACCAGATAACAGGAAGGCTGAAGGTAATGCAGAAATCTGGCTTTGCTTTATGTCTTTGATCTCACAACCGCTGCCTGTCCTGGAGCATCTGGAATTCCGAAGCTAAAGAAGCTTTTTGGAAATATACAAAAATATATACAAAATAGAAAGACAGAAAAAAAATGTTTTAATATAAAATGGTTTATTTTTTGTTCAATAATAAATCTGACTGGATTTGTAAATCATTGTGGATCTGAACTCCAAAAAGTTGGAATAGGGCATCGGCCATCTTTGATGGTGGAGTTTGTCGGAGCAGCTGCTTAACCCTGTAATGCCAAATGTATCGTATTTGATACATACGGTTTCTGAAATGTTTTGCGTCTGACACCTTTTGCATAATTTAATGGTAAAAACTTTGCTCAAAATCCTATTGTACACAATCAGATATACCTGATAACAGAGGGCAGAAGGCTACACAAAAAATAATCTTGACTTATCGCATAGTAATAGATTATTAATATCAAAAATGTATTTCTGTTTTTCCTTTTTACATATTTTGTTAAAAGGCCAAATAAGGACTTCAAACCAAAAAAAAGTAATTTTTCGTTTTGTTTTATTCTTGGATCAGGTTTTAAAGGAAGGTAGATGAGCTCATCAGGAAGGACAACGCTGTCCTGGGATCCTCCCCCCACCCCAAAGCAAGACTTAAACGAAAAACAGAACATCCTGCTGGACAATCTCTAACGCTCAAATGCATAAATCACTATCTCTTAAATCATAATTTTTATATTCTACCTATAATTAGTCATGAAAGTTTTGTACATTTTCAGTTTAAACTTCATTGATCTGAGTTTGTAGCTTTACTGTTCATCTGCTGTAAAAGTTCACTTTGTGTCTGAAAACATCTGAAAATTGCCACCAAAATAAAGAAGAATTCTGTTCTACTCTAATTATGTCTTGATTCAATCAAACACCGGGAAATATCCAAAGTTAGAATAGAATCAATCCAAACTCAAATCTCAAATAATATCACCTACCTAGACATGCCAGAAAAGTCTGCCTCCTCTTCCTCACAGCGCTCATCCAGCTCCTTTAGGGCCTTCGTCACATCCTCTTCCCACAGCGAGCCACAGGTGCTGTCTGGATCTGGATCAGCCTTAGGATCGAGCGGCGTGGGGATGCACAGAGGCAGTACGGTCTGCGAATCCTCCTCACAGAAGGACCCCGGCGGTGTGTCAATGGCCGGCGGAGGAGGGGGGGCTGGATCCAGCTCCTGGTGAGGGTCCAGGTTCCCCTGGGTGTCCTGAGAGTAGTGGGGGTCCTGCGGGTCAGGGAGGTCACACAGCTCGGGCGCATCAGATGGCAGAGGGGGGACGCTGCAAAACCCGGTGTCCTCGCTCACGCTGCTACTCAGCTCATCGGCTGCTGTCATGCTAACAGCGTCCTGCAACGCAAAACAAGATGGAGGCACTCAGCTACGATTGGCGTGACATTGGTTGGAAGGTTCCTTACAAACTTTCACTTCTAAGTTTTTTTCTATACTACCAGGTTGATTCTTACACGTTAAAGCAGTGTCCTCGGGATACCGAGATTTCTGTTATCAGCGAAAAAAAACTAAATTTTTAATGGCATTTAATTAAATGATATATAATAACGTAGCTAAATAAAATGGACAATTGCTTCCAAGAAAAGCAAATGTAGTCAAAACTAGACTTGGATAACAGCTGACTAAATGAATGAGCAAGACCCCTGTCACTCGGGAGCATCAGAAAATATGTTCATGCCTGAAAGGGAAATTAGAAATGAGAGAAAATGGCCCATGCAACATTTTCTCCTACATCACTCATACAATTTAAGAGCAAAATTGTGTGTAAGAAAGGTCCTTAAATGAGGCCCAATGTCTAGTTTAATATCTGCTGTTCTCATGAGGTTTCCAGGAGCCGCTGAAGAGGAACAAGCTCACAGTGTCACTGTGAGTTTGAGCTAATCAGAGGAAATCATTTACTTTTACACAATTTCACTGTGTGCATGATGCCAAACCACAGAGCAAATCTATTCTAATGTGGCCAAATTACACGACTCAGCAAACCTCATATTATGATGGTAGGACAGAAGAGGCTGTTTCCAGCATCCCTGTTGGGATGTGGAGTCTTTATGGGGACTTGATGGCTCCACTGCTCTTTAAATAGAACAGTACCAGGAGACGCCCGACGTAGATTAAATGGGTAAATATGTGCTTCTGCTGCTAGCATCTTTACTGAAACCTTACAGCAGTGGTCTTCCAGAGTTCATCAGAGTATCATCTGCTCTTAAAATTATTAGAGCTGCTGTCCACTATTGGATATGGACGAGTTTAGGCAGGTAAATATTTTATTGTAGCCATTTCCTGATTGATGAAGATCAACATATCTGCTCTCGTCTTTCCAATTTGGGAAAGTGGCTGAGAGAGATTGGGTTCTAGGAAAAGCTTCAACTGCTTTCATTTCACAGGAATGGGTGTCCATTACTTCCCCATTCCATGGTGTTTAAATACAACACATTACCAATGTAATTTTCTTTCTTTTTTTTTTTTCTTTTTTTTTTTTTACTGCATGAATTGTCCAATTAAGGCATTTTGCAGAGTAATAACATTTTGTAGTGTTATCCGAAGGCTTCTTAGAGATCTGTAAAGCCATCATGGAAACTATGTAGCATGTGCATCCTGGTGGAACAACAACAGATAGATCAGATCCCTGAGCTCATCTTTAAGACAATTGGATTTATGTGCTTCAATGCACATAAATAATGCATCGAATTGGAGACATTGATTAATAAACAGCCCACATCCAGTGAGGCTGCAATTTAAAACAAGCTTTACTGTAAACATGACTCAGAACAAACATCAGACTCATTTTAGTGCAAAGTACAAAGAAAGTCTCTAGTCTCTACCAGTAAAGTTTTAAGTAAAGTCCCAAGGTGAGACGGGGAACTCTGAAGTCGAGTAAGAGTCGTCCATGTTGAATTCCGGATCGTAAACAAGTCCAAAGACCAAACATCTAAATTCTTTTCAAAAAGCTGTTTCTTTTTTTGCCAGATCCAACAGCCAGAGGAAGTGAACTTTAAATTTGTGTGAAGTCTGAAGCCAATAAAAATAAGCAAATCCAAAAAAAGAAATTCCTCTAAGCAGGCTGATCTGAGAGTAAAAATATCCAAATTTCTACTGCAACGTTTTTCAGTGTTGCATAATTACAGCACCACATATCAGCGTTCACAATATTATATCAGACATTATTATATGAGTAACAGCAGATCATGATATAACCCAACAGAAAGAGATATATGCAATTAAATAAAACATTAATTTAGATTTAATAAGACGTGAACGTGGAGCTGCTCTCTGATAGCTTGGATGCAATAATTTATCTGTGGTTCAGGCTTAAAGCACTGAGTCTTTCCATCGTTACAGAAAAGCCTTCTGACATTCCTTAAATTAGCAAAAAACAAAAACACTTTGCTTTATTGTTGCTTTATTAACTTTGATTCATTTTTATGTATCAATCTCTGTATTGGGAGGAAGTTAGATGTTTCCCTTTTATATGAGTTTTTAGCTGGTCTTTGCAAAAAAAAGAAAATCACATATTTTTTCTCTGTTGATTTAGATGTGTGCATTTTGAAAATGTATTAAAAACTTGAAGGAAATATTCAAATCTAACTTTAATTTTCACGTGTAAAAAGAACAAAATCTGATTTGAACTTGGATGAATTGCAAACATATTTGTAACATAATTAAACCTAAATAATTAAGATTAGGAGCCTTTTCTCTGTGGGAGAATGTTCTGCTTGTGATGATGATGAGGAAGGGAAATTTAAACTTTATTAAAATGTTGTTTTTTTTCTAAGAAAACAAAAACATATAGGGTCTGATTTCAGAAGGATATCACTGCTGCTCTCTTCCCAAAGCGCTTTGCACCGAATCCTTCCCCCAACATAATGGTTCAACATTAATGGCCTCCTGTACTTAATGTTGATTTAGCTGCTGGCAGCAATTGCATCACCGTCTCCAGGCTTGCAAATATGAATCAGTCTGGGGCAGTTGCTCCTGCCTGGATATAAAATGGCCAACCCATTGTTTGAAGAGGAGCAGTTTTTGTTTTTCACTCTTCCAACTTTTCTCAGGTATCCTTGACAGCGCTAAAGCAGAGCCCCTGAAGTCCAAAGATAAACGAGTAAACCTCATGCTAGATTCACTGTGTTGTAGTAAAAGGAGAAGAAAATGGAGGGGCGGAAAGATTGCTTTTTTTTTTTTTTTTTACAGGAAACCTCCTGTTTGACGTAGAATAATTTTCTCAAATGAAAAGGTTCAAATCAGGCTAATTCAAAGACCAAAGGCTTTTCTAAAAATCATGGAGTCGAATCATGGAGTCGCAGTAGTTTAAAGTTTTGACTCGATTCTGACTCGACTGAAGATCTGTGTGTCTCAGACCAGAAGGAAGGATTTGATAAGAGCTTCAAATTTTCTGGCTGTACTTCTTATTTATTTATTTTTTTAAACAATCCACTGCATTAAGGTAACTGGACGTGGCAGGCAGCCAGTGCGTCACAGAGACAGCATCTATATTATGGAAAGCTTTTAGCGGTGCCCATGGCCGCCGTGGAGGAAGGAATGAGCAAGAGTATTGATGGGTTTTATCTGAGCTTCATTATACTAAGAGCTGCGGGGGGGTAGCTGAGGGTGGGGGCTGTAGACCTTGGACTGATATTGAGATCATTGGCAAAAGAAGCTCCATAGGAGCTGCATCCAGTGTAAAACACAGTCACTGAAGGTAGAAAGATGTCTTTAACAGTTTGAATTCAAACTAAGCCATGTTCTGTTTCAATGCCTTTCAGAACTGAAAACAGACACACAGATTTATGGGGGTTTTCCACCATCTTATGTTATTCTCTTCATTTTCATTTACTTTTTTATAGCTTGTCTTTTTCAATTAGTTTTTTTTAAAGGCTAATGAGCTACATTACTGCTGCAACAATCCCCAGTATGCCATTACAGTGAAGATATGCATAAAGCAACATCCTGGATTCTAGTGAAGATTAGCAATTATTACAGTTATTTAGGTACAACATATGCATGTGATTGATTTGGTGATACTTTTGGCTAAATGCAGCATTAAATGTTTTAGAGGATAAAGAGATGGTAAACTGTTAAAGCTGCTGTGAAGGACGGTTTGTTTGTGATGTTCTGACTGAAGCTGTACAGTGACGTCATTTATCTTTACCCAGAATAACATGGAAGAAAAACAGTCTCATTGGAATTTGGCCTTTTTTTGCACACCATATTCTAAACACTGAATTTTTGCACACATTCAATTACTTACAGATTTTTTTTAAACACTGAATTTTTTACACATTGAAAAAACTGAATTTTTATCTGGTCGAAATTCAGCTGCAAAAACTTAAGCTACAAAAAAAATTCTACGGCAAAAAAAAAAAAAATGTCCTGCAAATGTTTTGACCTTTTGGTGAACTCAAACCAAAGCAATCTACACTTGATGCAGTCGAGCAGCTTCTAGCCAATGAAATGAGCTCATTTGGTCAGAAAAAAATAATAAATTGCCGCTGGCCACTTCTTCGGGATCAAGCCAAGAGCACTGGCCGTCAGAGGTGCCGCACTAGCTGTGATCGGCTTAGTTATTTCACCCAGACCGATTTGATGAAAAACTCTAATGGCTGTCTATTAGTAGCTACCTGATGTTTTGTAATCATATCTATTTAACAAGAAAAACTCCTCATTCAGCTTCATTCAGCCGAAACAAAGCTATACCCAACTTTGGAGTCACGTAACCAAATTAGCTAATTTCATTGGCTAGAAGCTGCTTGACTGCATCAAGTGTCGATTACTTTGGCTTAAGTTCACCAAAAGGTCAACAGATCTGCAGGAAAAATTTTTTGCAGGCAAATTTTTACCAGATAAATATTCAGTGTAAGGAATTCAATGTGTAAAAAAAAAAATAAAAAAATCAGTGTTTAAAATTCGGTGCTAAAAAAATTTGGTGTACAAAAAAAGGTCAGATTCCAATGAGACTGTTTTCCTTCCATAGAATAAGTACCACAAATTACTGAGCTATAATTTAAAGTGAAAATCTTCAGTCCATTTTGCTCATTGAGGTCATCAGGAAACACTTCCCATTAGTATCTCACACTAAAAATAGAAGGACTGAAGTTCCTGAATGTTTTGAGTCCCAACCTGTTAAAAAAAATTTAATTTAAAAACTTACACAGGTTGGCCAGCAGGTGGCAGTGTCTAGTGACTTTAGCAAGTGGCTTTAAAAAAGTAAAACTTCAAACTGTAGTTTCCTCAGTGCATGAAAGAGACAACCTCCTGCTAACCTTCCAAACTGACCGAGCAAATAAGAACAAAAACATTGTAACAGACTCACCGCTGTTAGTGATAGTAGCAGTTAATAGCATAAAGACAGCATATGGCATGTTAAAAAGAGTAGCAAATGAAAGAAGTTTAATTGGCTAAGTCGCATCTGATTGAGTTTCCACTATGTGCGCCTTTAAAATTCAACACACCACTTAAAAAGGACTCATACTCACACATGCTTCTGCTGAAGGGAACCGTTCTCATGGCGTTTTCACCAGTTTTTAAATGCAGGATTTAGTTGGAAGGGTCAGTGGCTGAGTTATTGGGGATGAGCAGTAACAGCTGGCCTGAGGTGAGTGTTTGCTTTGATCTCATCCCGAATCACATAGTAAAGCATAAAAGCTAAAGAGCCAGCCCTCAGCGCCCTCACCCACAGCAAAGCAACCAAGAAAAGGGGCCTTAGAGGGGAATTAAGCGGTTAAAAAATGTCTTCACCCAGCAGCTGGCAGACAGTAACAGAACTAAACCCATCCAAAAAATCCTAAATATTGTATTTTTTTTTCTCACTAAAATAACAAACAAAACAAGAAGTAGAGCAAAGCAGACAGAAGCTGAGAAGGAAAAGAAATGCGAGCTAAAAAGCACCCGAGCACCACAGTTTATTGCCTCCCCCGATTGATCGCACCTCAGGCAGCTGGCTGCTGGTGCTGTCTGAGTGGGTCATCTCCAAACTGGGGCTATCCAGTCGGGGGAGAGAGGGGAGGGAGGGCAGGTTGGGCAGTACAGTGGCCTCTTCTGTCATGGCGCTGCTGGACGATTCCTGAGACTGCTGCAGGGAATCCACGTGGTTGGATGCAGTGTCATCGGTAGCAGAGTCGCTGTTCAGCTGGACGGCAGAGACAAGACAACCGGATCACCTCACTGGAACTAAACTTAGATTATTATTCAAATCAGCATGTAAAAATAGGGCTGAACTAAATTATTTGACTTACACTTATATGATCAGGATCTAAGCAAATGTTCAAGATTTAATCAGATAAGCAGATATTAATGAAAAATGCTTTGGAGGATGCTTTATGTTCAAGGACCTGCATGTCAGGGAAATATATACTTTAGTATTAAACCTTTACAATATATTAAACAAATAAGACATGGTTTTCAAATCAAGCAAAAGAAGTTTTAGTCATTTTAGTCTTGAATTCCTTTGAACCTGCATCTTAAACTGCTTCAGGATATTCCTACCATTCTGACCCATGCTATTAGCAGTTTTTATTTTATATTAAAGGTGCAATGCTTCATGGAAGCATGGATCACCCTAAAACTTCTTCACATTTCGAAAAAACAAAAGCAAAATGTTTTTACTGGAAGTTTAAATGACAGACCAACACAAAAAACACAGCGTAATTGCTAATGGTGGAACAGACTGGGGACCCTGAAAAATGTATCTGAAAATACATAAAATTACTTCATGCTATATGAATTTATACATATAAAAGAAATAATTACATCAATTTTTGACTAAATGTATTGTTAATGACATTTAATCAATATTTTTAATTACTTAGAGAGAGATTTTATCAAACTATTTTATTTCAAATTATTGCATAATTGAAGTTTAAATCATATGACAGATCAGTGTGTGCTTCAATAAGTGAATGATTGAATGTAGTGTATAGTGCTTTGGTTATGTCTCCTGACTTGGTAGAGCACATCACTATAGGGCACAGTGCTGGTGAAGATTCTCAGTCATCAGGTCATAGTCATTCCAAAAGAAGTTAAAAAACAATCCACTGGACTTTGTTTCCAAGTTCAAAGACGTTTTGCTTCCTATCTAGAGACTGCGGTACTTCTACACCTTATGGACAAAGAAATTCTTTTGAGGACCAGAATGTCCACATTTTCGAAAAAGAAAATAGGTGGTTAGAGAGGGGCGTGAAGGAAGCCATCTATGTTAAGAAAGAAAAAACAATCTTAAACAGACAGGGTGGACTCAGGTTCCAGCTTTCAAATAACCTACAGAAGAGTGGAGGACCTCGCCTATTCAGCCATGCCAACAACTGCCTTAACGACCCCCCTTTCAGAGACTTAGATGGGTATGGGGCATTGCAGTCTAACAAAAGAAGCCAAAAGATCCCCTTTCCAAAGGGGTGGATCCCTTCGTCTGTTTCAATTTGCATGTTTTCAAAACAAAAACAAGGCTTTGATGGGCTACCTCGAACTCAACTCTCTTCCTGACATTTTGAATCGAAAAAGCTTCCTGGATGGGAAGCGAAACGTCTTCAAACTTGGAAACAAAGTCCATCCAACTATTTTCTGACACTCTTAATCCCAAGTGGGGTTAGTGAGGGGTGCTGGTGCCTATCTCCAGCTGTCTATGGGCAAGAGGCGGGGTACACCCTGGACAGGTCGCCAGTCCATCGCAGGAAACAAAGTCCAGTGGATTGTTTTTTTTAAACTAGTTTTTTGAATTAATATCTAGGGCACTATATAGGGGTTAGGTTATTTTAAATTAGTGTCCAAACATCTAGTGGATCAAAAAGTAGTGGAGGCGAAATATCCTACAATGCAGCTTGAATAGCAGCCAACAGCAGGGACAAATAAAGATGGTGCAGTCACTATGTGGGGAGGGAGTCAGTTCACTATATAGTTCCCGCTCTATATAGCGACTGAGGGATGAAGGGGTTAGGGCGGACGTTCGGATATAGCCAATGACTATGAAAACCATTTTGCAAACCCCCTACATTGGAAAGCCCTGTCCTAGACTGTCTGCCATCTTTTTGTCCCTTTCTTTTTTATAAAACTGATCAAGCTGAGTCTGATTAGAAGGAGATCATCCAACAACAACGACACGTTTTAAATCTAGACTTTTCGCTGTAGCTGGGGCTGTAAAATTTACAGCTGTGATGTGGGTCTGGGCAATATGGAAACAAAAATTATATATTATATTTTAAATAAATATCTAAATTATTTTTTTATCTTTCTACACCGCCCTGCTCATTATCTGCCGTTACCATATTTAGTTATGATGGTCGGCCAGTTCACAGAGATGAGCAACCTTTTTTTTTCTGTCACATAAAATAATCCAGTTAGGCCAAAAGGTTTTATACTGTCCTCGCTCCCTACACGGATCCACACCTTAGGGTTTGTCTTCTTACCAATGTTCCCTCAGATCCATTTGAAGAGTACAGCTAATATTTGTCCCATTGACAGATCCTTCCAACTGAGCTGTGGATTTCTGTAGCTCCTCCAGACAAACTTGTTTGCTTCTCTTCCTTTAAATTGATCATTTCTTGGATTTAAGCTGTTCTTGCCTGGTGTGTTACTTCAGGATGAGTGAATTAAAGTCATGATGTTTTCAAATATGTTTCCAATTAACAACAAAATGGGTTCAAGTCTTTTACTAGCAGTAAATCTAACATAAATACCGCTTGTAAGAAGAAAAAAAAATGCTTTTTCTTACCCATTTCAAACATGATATTTCAGTTCAATAGTAGAACTTAAAAGCACAAAGTCATCGACTTTACTCTTGTTTTATATACATTTATATAACAAGATCTTCTAACGCGTTTATGTTATTAGTAAATGATGACAATCCCACCATTCTGTCAGTTTTGGGGGCAAAATCAAATACAATTTCTAATTATATTTTTAGTCTGCCTCCTTGAACCCCAGTCGGCCTCAGCAGATGGCCGCTCACACTGAGCCTGGTTCTGCTGGAGGTTTCTTCCTGTTAAAAGGGAGTTTTTCCTCTCCACTGTCGCTACAAGCATGCTTAATATGAGGGATTGCATTCGAGTCAATGAGTCGATGCAATCGATTTGAATCAATTTGACTGTATGATCTGGTGAACTGTAAAGTGCCTTGAGATGACGTGTTGTGAATTGGTGCTATATAAATAAACTGAACTGAATTGAATTATTTAAAAGGAAATTCCCTAAAAAAAATTAAATCCTGCATTACTTTGTGAAGGTCTATCAAATACATCCCAGCAGTAAAATGTGAAAAAGTTCAAAGGGTGTAATTACTTCTGCAAGGTCCTGCAAATGCTGCATGCTCTTGAGTAAAAACTGGACTGCTGAGTCTCTTTAGGGGGTCACATGTTCAAAAAGGCAAAAGCTCATTCTCTCACCATGCATTATCAAGAACAGCAGAAGAGGAGAGAGAGAGAGAGATAGAAAGAGCGAGAGAGAAAGAGAGAGAGAGAGCAAATCCTTTCAGAATGAGCTGAAGCATTCATATTATTTTTAGGGAGATTTGAGCTTGCAAGACAACAAAAGGAAGAGTTAGAAAGAAGCAGCAGGTGTGTTAGAAAACGGCAAAGGACCATGCAGGTTTAGAGATACTAGAATTTTATTTTTAAATTGATTGTATGAAAAGAATCAATCACTGTACTTACCAAACATCTACTTCTATACGGATATTCAAACTAACTTTAAACTAAAAAAACAATTTAATTCTGAGTCAGAGGTGAAAGAACTGGGCTGAGATTTGAAGGAGGCAACTACCACCACCAGCCAAGAAGCAGGCAGCAGGTCCAGCTCAGTATGCGCACACACACACGCACACCATGCCAGCGGGGCCGTGTGAGGGGGGGACCACGGTAGATTGAGTGGGTGTGTGGACCCTGATTGGAGTAAGACTTACAAGGCTGGAGCGGGTGAGAATCTGGCTAGCGCTCAGTACCTCCTCCTCAGATGATTCATCCGTGTCCTCGTGGTTGGTGAGGTTGAGACTTGGCGTGCTGCCAGTGTACTGGCACTCCTGTAAAGACGGCGTGTCCCCTTTGTCCATGCTCTCCAGGGAGCGGCGCCGCACCCCCCAGTTGAAGTTGTCCATGCTCTCCCCCTGCAGGACATCCAAGCCAACAGCAGTGAGACAGAATGTAAAACAGAAAAAATATTTCACAACTTAACGTTTAAGAAAAAAAATAAAAAAGGTCTTACATACAAAATTAACTTAAATAAAAAAAAGACATAAATAGGTCACATGCTTGATGTGGTTTTTCTCCATCTTTTGGGATGAAACATCATGCTAAGCTCTAAAGCTATCAAAGTGTCCACAAACACAGGGGCGGATGTTCAAATCAAAGTGTCCGACGGCAATAAATTGGATATCAACACGGGGAGAGAAAAAAACTAAATCAATTAACCTTTTGTGCCCAGAGACATACCTGCATCTCCTTGTAGCAAGAGAGGAAACAGAATGTAAATGTTAGTAGACTTAAGGCTGTTAGGAAACAATATCGTTTCATGTGTTACAGCTAAATAAATCCTAACAAGCTGAGGGACGAGATATTATTCAGATGCTTTGAGTGGGAACTCACCTCTGCATCCTCCAACTCCACATCCAGGAAGTCAAAGTCTTTAAAGACACCAAACTGCTGCTCGCTGCCCGTGTCCTCTCCCTGAACATCCTCCTCTCTGACCACCTCCTCCACCGTCGGAATGAGACTGGTTTGCTGGTCCACCGAGTCCAGATCCTCATTGGAAGAGAAAACCACCTGCAAGCAAAAACAGAAAGGTTTTTTCTTCTAATGATCAAGTTAAAAACATATCTCTAACAGAGAGCTTCTCTTTAGGCCTTGGAGTAGAAGGAAAGTCTTACGGATGGATTTTTGGGAATGCCAGATTCTGGACCACATAGAGACAGGACATTCATCAGCCTCTCTCTGGTTCTTCTCTAAGGAAGGAACACAAACAAAAAGATGAGAAAAACTGAGCAAATTACAATATTTACATCTAGAACTAATGACCCAATCAATACCAACAGTGGTAACAGTGGGTTAGTAATAAAGAAATAAAAAATATATATCTTGTTAGGATCATTTGAATTCTTGCATAAAACAGAAAAACAGAGAAATCAGCAGATTTTCCTTTTGAAGAATTAAAAAACTACAATCTTTTATCTGATCAGATGGTCTCAACCGTACCAAGACCTCAATAGATGATTCTCACCCAATACACTTAACTGAGAAACTTACAACTGAGTTGAGAGTAAATACAAGATGTGTGCTCATTATTGATCTCGTCTTTGGACTAAAATGAAAATAAAAACCTATTTTACATTAATGTTGGTCTCATAAACTGGTGAAACGATGCCTCTGCTCATAATATAATATAAATAATAAAAGAATAATAAAAGTGAGAACAACACCTTAAATGCTGCTTAGTATAATTTGAAATCTGTTAGAATAATTGTATATTAATGTATCTGTGTAGTGTTATAATGCATAAAGCTGTGTGCATGTGTTCATAGCCATCTTTTCTGAAGTATACTGTGATTTGTAGATTTGCTTTTGGGGAGGTTGTGGTTGATTTACGAGCAGCACTCAACCTGCTGAACTTTGGTGAACAGCTTCAACAGCTTAAAGTTTGACTGAACCCTGAAATTTAAAGGACATGTTTACTGAGACTGCAAGTCTGAGTTCCTTATCTTGTTTCCCCCCCAGTGTAGTCTCAGCTGTTGTAATCAGGGACCACTGATTTCAATAAATAGCGAGGAGAACGCTGGGACCGCAGAGTGGGTTGGAGATTTGTAAACTCTGCAGTCTCTTCCTACTTTCCTCGCGAGTAAAACTTAATTAATTGTCTCTTCTTTCTTTCCCTGTATGTATGTATGTATGATGTTTAGGTGCCTAGACCTGACAAAATCCAAACCAGCCAAATAAGCTCTCAGCAGGTTTGCAAAATGGATGACAGAAATCAATCGGAAAAATCCAACCAGTGATTCTCCAAATAGAAAGTATTTACCACTAAGATGGTGAAGATATTTCTGATAAAGGATTAAAATAAAGAATCAAATTTCTTGGTAGATGGCTGCCTCACTAATAGCTTAATGTGTATTTAATAAGGTGATACCTGAGACAGTTGAGGCCTCTTCCAGCTAACTTGGACCAGACCATTAGAGTTGGAGCCAGACGATGTTGAGGAGGTGCTCCTCGTTACGGCGATCACCTGTGCCTTCCCATTTCGTCCTGCTGCAGTACGCTGATCGCCATATTTATGTCCTATAATTGGCGTCTAGTGGACCATAAAACAGTTTAAGCTAAAGACGCCTCAGAGAAGATATGCAGGCGTAGAGGTGTGTTACTTAATCAGCATGGAAGCAAACTGACCTCTGAGATGTCAAAATGGAAGTCTAGAGTCTTCCCAGGCAGCTCTTTGGAAGAGTTGTTGAAAATGCGTGTGAAGGCGATTTCTGGTGATCCGCAGGACTCTGAACTGTAGGAACGCTGCACGTCGTCGGGTACAACCAGACTGGCTGATCGAGACACGACCATCTTCAGGATGTTTTGGGCTTCTTTCCAGTGTGGACTCTGCAATGCAAAAAAAAGATATATAATAACTGTCCAATTATTTCTGAGCGTTTCCATTCATAAACAATCATATGTTTCATTATCTAACCTCTGCTGCAAAGGAGATATTATATATGACACCATATTTACATTGTTGGATCTATACCATCAGAAAACTATATCACAGAAACCCTTTAAAGAAGCTGAAGTGGAGGCCTGCTACACTGCATATGATTCAAAGCCTTCTGCAATTACAGACCGATATGAAACCGCTGCAGGATTTGTTTAAGACTAAAAGCCTCACATTTCTTAAGATGGTAGCATACAGCGCCCCAGGGAGGACTGAAAGCTTCCATAGAAATGTTCTCGCTTACAGATGAGGCATCTGTCACTAACTATCAAATAGATCAGGCTAGTTTTTAAACAATGAAACAGGGGAAGATAAACTCCAGTCCTGTCAAAAATGCAAGGGAAAAACCGGCTGGTGACCAAAATCAACAGAAATCTGATCTTCCGATTGGTTGATACAAAACACTAAAACACCAAAAGGTTTTGCTGACTTGTGGAAATGCTATCAGTGGGTGAAGTAGACCAACTACCCTATTGGCTTAGACATATTTATTTTCTATACACAAGTGTAAACAAAAAGAAATTTCATTTAGAACAGCTCTCTAGACAGTTTAATTCTTTAAAGTGCAGCCTTGATAAGGTAAGCAGCAGATGTTGAGGAGCTGTTACTACTGCCTCCAGCTCCTGAAGCACTCGCTTCTCCTGGCTCAGGGGAGGAAGAGGACGATGATGACGATGCTGTGAGGGTAGTAGCCCCCTGGGTTGAAGAGGCTGATGTGGTTGAAGCAGCAGTGGCGCCATCAGCAGGTTTAGCAGCGACAGACGATGATGGAGAAGGTGTGGAAGCCGGAGGGGACCGGCTGGGGATGTTTCAGCATTTGGCAGGAAAGGATCTACTTTGCTCTCCTCATTTCACCTGCAGAGGGCTGTGCTTCCCCTCTAGATGCAGAAGATTGCCTTGGAACAGTCTCAGAGGAGCCTCCATCACGCAGAGCTCTTTGTTTCTATCGTTGCTGTACAGCATCAGCCCCCCCAAGGCCAACAGCACTGTCCCGTACTGCTGGACGCAGCCAAGACCCCGTCAGAAACCCCTTCAGGGTTTATAGTACCCTGTCAGGGTATTATAGTACTAGAAAGTTATTTCAAAACGAATTCAATTTTGAGATGCCTGTTAAGCAATTCAGCAACACCCATTCAGCAGAGAAGAGAAGGGCTATGTGTGTAACAAGGTTTTATCCTTTTGGGTTTTCGACCCGATTGGGGATTAAATGTTAAATGTCTTAACAATGTCAAAATTAAAGAAAAAAATTTACTAGAGATTTTAGCAAAAACTGTCATTTAACATTAGACACTAAAGATCATTTAATGTCAACTGTGAGTTTATTTGAAAGTACTAAAGTCGTGTTTCAGAGCAACTGCTCCCAGCACCATGTAGTGTCGCTTCTCCTCATGATAAAATCAAATGTTCCTACTTAATGTGTAGATCTAGGGACAAACAGAACTGGCTAAAACCAGAATATAAACTCACATCTTTACAAAAACTTAAAATGTGCCACACAATTCAGACTGGTGTGGGTTTACTCACAGTGTTTGCCAAAAAGAAAATAATAAACGTATTACCAACAGGGAAAAGATGAGGTTAAATGAAAACTAATGGAGCCCTCACCTGAACATATTTGCCAATAATCTTCATGATGTCGATGTTGAACTGTTTGACAGGGGCTGCTGATAGGTCAATGTGACTCAGGAGGCTGTAGATTATCTGCAGCAGGGACTGTTGCATGCTGGGTAGGCCTTTCTCCAACAGCTGAGAGCAAAAACCAAATTCTGATTATTTCTTATGTCTATGTGTGATGATATGAAGATGTTGATGTTTCGTACCTCTGCCAAGTAGGTGACCAGGTTCAGGGTTCTTTCTGCGAAGCCATCATGGATGTAGCGACAGACCACGTTGATCCAGTTGGTGCAGTCGCGGGAATAGCTGTGCGTGCTGTAAAGGCTCATCATGTGGGCCAGGTTGGAGAGGGTGGCCGACTTCTCCTCTGCACAGACCTTGGCGATCTTATCAGCCGTCTCCTTGCAGAAAGTAGTCGGGCTGTCAAAGTGCTGAATGAGGTGTGGCAGCAGGCACAGGATGTTCAAAGGAAAACCTGGAATCCATAAGGAGGAGAGAGATTAGTGGAAGATCGCATAAGGAGCATTACAGATAAAGAGTAGCAGCATCTATTGTTTTACCTGCCACTTGTGAAGGATCTACCAGCGTGTGCCTGGAGACGCTGATGAGCTTGCTGAGCAGATGGATGGTGAGTTCTTGCGTAGAAGCTGAGGTGAAGCCTTTAAGGAACAGCTGCAGCAAACCGGGGAAGTTGTACCACTTGAGTTTTCCTTGGATGTTCTCCAGACGTTCCCTGCTGTCCACTCGTTCCAGGGGTAGCTGGCCCAGCAGCTTGTTGAGCAGCCGCAGCGCCAGCAGGTACTCAAACTCGTAGTCCGACTCGAGTAAAGAGACGGCGATCCAGAAGACGGTGGCCATCAGATTAGAGGGGTCGACTGGTGGGACAGCCTCCCCCCCTGGGCTTCCTCCCCCGCCCAGTGAAGTTAAGCTCTTTGTCCGTAGCATGTTGGAGGGGCTACCAGTGAGTCGGTCTGCTATGTCCAGAGTGTTGCTCCGACGTCTGTCAGCTTTGCGCTCACCAATGAGGCTGGCACGGAGGGAGTTGCTCCGAGCGTGGACGTAATGCAACAGGCCGCCGCTGTTTAGATTGAGCTGGCCTGTGCTTTTCCTGTTGGCAGACAACTTCGCTCCCAGGTCACGGGTCGAGCTTCTGTAAAGAAAACAACAATAAAGATTTTAAGAGTCAGTCACCCAAATCCGATTTTCTGCCGAAAACAGGAAAATACCCCTAAAGTAAAAACAGCAGACAGGACTTACTGGGAAAGGAAATCGTAGCTCTTGATTGAGTCTGCTAACGTGTCGATGCTTGACTCTAATGTCAGCAGCAGCTCTATGACAAAGCCCTGTATGGAAAGAAACAGCATATAAAAAACACAATTCCTACTGTGTTAAAACACTGAAGATTTATTTTCTTTTAGTTCCAGGAGGCACGGATCTGTCATAATTCACATCATGTTTTTTTTCACGTTTGGTTCTCAGATCAAAAGGTACAATGAACAATTTAAGTTTCCCCTCCAATGACAAATTAAAACCTTTGAGCTACTCTAAACTGCTGTGGTTACTGCCTGGTGATGCTAAAGCTTTTATCTGATTTAGCATCAGGGAGAAGGATAATTTATTAATCAAACTGCTGAATTAGGAACACAGAATCAGACGCCAGCAGCATCATGTTTAGCAACAGAGCTGGAAATACTATAGGTTTAAAAGCTGAACAGCCGTTTTATTCAGATGCTTAAATAAAATGATTATATTTTTGGTGTACATCACTTTATGCAGGCTGTTAAAAGATGAAAGGGTGAATCTCTGCTTCGTTTTTCTGCTCCTTTTATGTCATAACATAAGTAGAGATACTCTAAACACAACCCTCTAGTTGTATTTATTTATTATCTTTATAAAAGCAACTGTTAAAATATTCCGTGAATGTTCTTGCTTCTGTTTTCAAGGCTAACAGGTTGATGCTCATAAATAGCTGTACTGGATAGCATTCACTGTGATGCAAGCGGATGGCAGATATTACTGGTAGAACCCAGACTGGACTGTCCCACCAACATGTACTCCCTGGTGACACCAGTTCAGATTATTTTGGTCTAATGACTTTAGTTTGTACAGAGCAGCAGCAGGAAGTAGTGGCTTTCTATCCTGACCTGTGCCTCCTCTCCTGGGTCTCCTACAGTCTCAACCAGTCGAGACAGAATGTCGGACAGCGTGGCCGGCGTCAGCGGCTGTTTGAGCGCCCTGAAAATCTGGAAGGAGCGACCGGCGTAGTGTCGAGAGGCGCATGACAGAGCAGTCCTCAGAGTTACTTCGCTCAGCATGGCGTCCAACTGGAAACCTGAAGAGAGACGGAATATAAAGATGAATTTAAATAATGTAAAAAAAAAAAAAAAAAAATGAAAAAAAAAAAAAAGCCATAAATGTGTTTAAACCTGTCTGGGAATTTTTGAAGACGTTGACGACGTGTCTGACAAAAGCGCTCAGCTGGTCGGCGCTCTTAATGTTGGAGTTCTTGGGCGACACGTCTTCGTGGTTCCATAACGGACCGCGCTTTCTACACAACCGAACACAGATCATGGAGTGAGAACTATTTACTCAGAAACATGCGTCGCTTTCACACCAGAGAACGAGCCAAACTCCAAACCATGCAAAACAAAAATACCCGCTCCTTTCAGACACAGCTGGAAGCATGAAAGCATAATCAGCATAAAAACAAGTAAGACTGCATGTTTGCTTTGACTCAAACTCAGTTTTATAAATCACGTGGAAGTTTGCATAAGCTGCATTAAAGAACACAAATAACGCTGCTTTGTTTAGACACAAAACAGAAAATCTTCCTCACCTTGATGTAATAAACTCAATGAGACCTTTAGCCTTGTCTTCCTGTTCAGCGTTAATATCTGCCTCAATGAGAAGCGTGGGGGAGAGGTGAGACAAAGTGCTACTTCCTGCGCCGAGACTTATGCTGGAGGACGTGGAGCTCGTGCTGAGGCCGGAGTCTGTCATAGGCGATGGTTGGAAATCTGGTAAAATCTCCTGCATTCCTGTGGAAACCATAGACAAGAACAAAGCTGATGTCAGGATTACTTCTGGTACTTCAATATTCACACCGCTGCTGCCACCTGGTGGCTAGGTTTGGACCAACAAAAACATTTGAGTTATGTGTTGGAGATAATTCCAGAGCTAGTTAAAATTCTGTTAACGCCTCATTCCTGACCTGTAAGGTTAAACTCTGGAGCGGCCTGTTTCACCGTCAGCACCCTGGGATCGTTGTAGTCTCTGTTGCGTAAAAGCACCATGGCCACAGACTGGCTATTTGCAGACTGGACAACAAGCAGGTGGAGCAGCAGCCGTTTACAGTGCTCATAGACCTCTGGGTGCTGGTGATCAAAGCCTGGAGGAGGAGAATGGGACGATGAGGTGAGACAGGGAGACGTTTGTGCAGACATTTATTAAACATGTGGGAAAGTTTACCTATGAACACCGCGTGTAACAGAAGGTGCAGGTATGCACTCCACTCTACTTTGATCCCATGGTCCACTATTAGGTCCGTCAGCAGGATTACGGCAATATTACATCTGAAAACCAGAAGACACTTTAACTCTGATCTTCAATGAATGCTGAATTTCTGAAGAAAAATGGCGTATGTTCAGGGTACCTGTGAAGCGGCACAGTGGCCGTGTTCGTCTCCGGCAAATAATCCACCAAAGGAGCCCAGCAGCCTCCTGTTGGTGGGAAGGGAAGCGGCTCTGGCTGGTTGTGATCCATCACTTTCAAGCGCCAATTTGCATAAAGTGGCATGGAGTCACCTGGAGTGGCGTGAGACATTATTAAACGCGGTCTATATTAGAACTACGCCATGCTGAACGAGTCAATATGTCCTGCTTACTTTTCTCATCCTCATAGGAGCCGCCAGAGCTGCTGCTGTACCGAGATTCCAGGCGGTGGTGCTGGCGGTTCAGGTTGCTGTTCAGACCGGAGTAAATCTCCAGGTGTGTGTAACTAAGGAGGAAGACATGCTTTGATCACAAACGTTGGGCAAGAAATGAGTTCCCCAATAACTCTTCCCCCCCCAAATAAAGGATTTAAGTAAAATATAATCAGATTCTGCAGCAATGCATTGAAAGGCTTTCAACACTAACTGAAAGTATCCCATCTGAAAAAGAGAGACTTTTAGATATCTGATGATAATAACAATTACTTGTCCATTTCATGTAACTCCAGCTCAGTTTTTCCTGGAGGCTGAAAGGTGTTCGGACAGAAGCTAAAGTTAAAGGAGACATCTATCTGAAGTGGAATAAATGCTGGAGAGTGACAAGCTTCATTCAGGGCCCTTAACACTCGTTAACCACGCCATGCTGAAGTAGATCAAAACAGGATAAGTTAGTTGGCCCCAGGTTTGCATAGTTCAATCAGATGAGTTAAACTTTTAAATAGAAAACGCTTTGTGACGCTGACCAGACAAAGTACCTGTCATATGACAACTATTCTATCATAGCTTGTTATGCAGCGGCTACTTTAGCAGCTCTGAGTTGTTTTCAGGCTTCTATTGATGCTGTTATTCACATAGAAGCCGGAGTATTTACCCCGTTGATTCAGCTTCCTGTGTGAAACAAATTGCTTTATTTCAGACTCTTGAAATGCTCTTCTACAGAAGTCTACAGACCTCCCTGGTATTCAGACACCTGAATCTAATTTTTTCCATTGTAGCTTTAAAACAATAAATGCTAATAAACTGAATATAACAATATTAGTCAATTAATTCTATATTTGGAGCCTGAAACCTGCTGTTTTCTGTTTCTACAATTAACTGAGAGCATTTACTATGCCAAAAACTGTATGAAAAACATGAGCATTTTCCACTTAGGATAAAACATCTTATCAGTCTATAAATATGCTCAAGTTGAAGTTTTAGCTTCATCTGTTTCAAAATCAGTTTTAAAAAAAATCTCCAATTAAGAACCTTTTGCTAACAGTCAATCAAACTATTAATTGGAAGAGCAGTCAATAAGGTAATCAGTGAGCAAAATAATCTTGTGTATATATATATATATATATATAAAGACCTTATTGATTAAACTGCAAAGCTGTGAGGTTGGATCAACTTTTTTAAGTCTCTTCTCTCCAAATATTTAAAATGTTTATCGTGGAATGTTAACTATATTATAAGATCTGTGACAGACTGACGACCTGTCCAAGGTGTACCCCGCCTCTTACTCATAGACTGCCGGAGATAGGCACTGTGACCCTGACAGGACTAAACAGGAGAAAATAAATGGATGAATGTTATAAGATTTATCAATTCATCTTAAAGTAATAGATTAATGGATTACTAAGAGAATCAATAGCTGCAGCCCTACTCTGTTGTTTCCTTAAAGGGTTCATAGAATGAAAAGCTTTCAAAATCTTGGACAGTTGAAAGCAGGATTTGCTAAACTTCTTTTACTGAAAAGAGAAGCTGTTCTGACCGTAAGGCCATCACAACCGCAAGCTGCAAGTATTATTCTATCGCTAAACTGTTGATAGCAATGCTATGATTTGTGTTTCTGAAAAGGAGGACACGTTTATTTTTTTGGGGGGTGACTGGACCGGACCAGGCATTCGAACCGAGCCATCAGCTGACGGTAGCCTGGACAATGGCGGCCCTGTGCTTATTCCCCGTGCTTGAGCATACCATAAAAGGAAGAAAACCTGTCTTTTCATTCTTTTCAGGGCTCATAGAACAGCAAATATGTCATTTTCAGCCCAACCAATGTTACACACCCTATAGGGAGACAAAGGAATAGTACACCCAAAACATGATTAGCCTTCATTTTCTACTCACCCCCATGCTGAACAACACTCTGGATTACTTTTTTGATATCTCAAATGCATCTGGAGATCTGGGAGGCTTCTTGCTGTCTGCTGACATTCAAATAATGGAGGTCCATAGCGCCCGAGACAGAAAGGTCCATAAAAGTCTACAAAAAACGTGTCAATTTTCCTCCATACTGCTCGTCCAATGTATTCCAAGTGTCCTGAGTGGGTAGCATCCAGAATTTACTCGAAACGAAGTCATTTAGAATGTTTTTAGAGCATAAACAGTAGTGTATAGGATTTCCTGAAAGCGCGCACATGCGCGCTCACGACGCTACGGAAGCCGGCAGACCAAACCAGATGAAAGTGTGCATTCAGCGTCTGCTGAATGCGCTGGTTTGGTCTGCCGGCTTCCGTAGCGTCGTGAACGCGCATGTGCGCGCTTTCAGGAAATCCTATACACTACTGTTTATGCTCTAAAAACATTCTAAATGACTTCGTTTCGAGTAAATTCTGGATGCTACCCACTCAGGACACTTGGAATACATTGGACGAGCAGTATGGAGGAATATTGACATGTTTTTTGTGGACTTTTATGGACCTTTCTGTCTCGGGCGCCATAGACCTCCATTATTTGAATGTCAGCAGACAGCAAGAAGCCTCCCAGATCTCCAGATGCATTTGAGATATCAAAAAAGTACTCCAGAGTGTTGTTCAGCATGGGGGTGAGTAGAAAATGAAGGCTAATCATGTTTTGGGTGTACTATTCCTTTAAGGACCAAATACCCTATAAAATCATTCTATGACCCCTTTAATGTCTGTTCAAGTTTAACATGTTTCCATCTCAGTCTTGTTTCCCCCAGTGGGATCACTGGGGGTAAACCGTCTCCTACCTCCATGATCTCCTAATAATCATTGACTACTCTGTAAAAAAATACTCAATTATAATCAATTCAGTTTAAAGTTTCATAAAGTACCGCTTGTATACAGCTATGATGCTGCTGATGCCAGTCAGACTGGACGTTAACGTCAGCCTTAAATACAGATTAATCCTGTTACGTTAGAGTTACCTACTGAAAAGCTTTCAATAGGAACCTCCTGCATGTACCTGTCTTCCATGTTTGGGTCTTTGCTCTTGCTGTCATGATGACCCTCGCTTCCTGGCACCATGGTATTGCTGCTGGAGGTTGTTCCTGAAGGAGAAGGCAGGAATAGAGTCAGATCCCTGACCTGTGATGTGAATTAAAGCTAATATTACCAACTTAATTTAGTGTTGGATACAAAATCTCTATCAAACAACCTCTAGCGATGTTCCTTTATCAAATCCAAAATTAACATCTGCCTTAAAGCTCTGATCAGTTCATCTCTAAGGTGTAACCTCGTAGGTTATTATCAGTCTTTCACCTGAGGTAACTGAGGGGATCTTGTAACTGGAGGTGATGCGGTAATAAGGGGGGTTGTCCATGTGGGTCACAGCTGAGCTGACGGGCTCCGTCAGCTGAAGTTCCCACATCAACTCCTCCAGCAGCTGCATAGTTTTATCTCTGCCCAAGTAAACCACCACCCGTTTCACCTGAGAACACAGCAGACATGTGAGGAACACATGACCAGGCTGTCCTACGGCGCCTGAAAGAAAAGGGCTTTAACTTACATAGGGCAAGAGGCTGGGGTCACTGCGAACCCCTGATATACTGATGAGGAAGTGCAGAATGATTCTGAGGTTCTTTGGCCAACTGTCTGCTAACGTCGTCCAAACGTTCTCGATTTCTGACCAAGCAAACTCATCTCCATACTGCAGGAGAAAAACATCAGTCATCAGTTATAATAATGGAAATGTCATTAACAGTTCTGTGAATAGAAATGTTGGCTCTTACCTTAGCGGTCATAAACATCAGGTTGTTTAGCACCATGGTTGTTGCACGAGGAGAGCCCCAGCCCTCTCCACGGAGCCAGCGCCGGCTGTTGACCATCATAATGTCCTGGTCTTGGCCATCCTCCTCGTCCTCGCCGCTACCGCAGTCTTCCGGTCGCCTTATGGTGGGTTTGAATTCGACCAGCTCCACATTGTTCATCCAAGGTAGGAGGTAGTGCAGCATGACTTGACGGCCACCAGGATGAGCGGTCTGGATACGCTGGCTGACTTCTGCATTTTGAACAGTTTCACATGACAAAAATATATTTAAAACCTGAAAAAATATATTTTGAGATCAGCAAGACGGGTGTGTAGAAGGATTTTCTCCTTTATACCAAACCATCTGACCTGAGAAAATAGGCAGAGTGAGCTCTGGATACGTTCTCGCTAGCTCCTCAGAAAGCTGGTAGTAAGACACGGAGTACAGGTGTGGAAGTGGTGATGGGGGAGTCAGGATGCCATCTGTTCGCTGGATCTCCAGTTTGTGTGCATAACGGAAAAGCTTTGGCTCCAGGATCTGTTTCACACATGCGCCGATTAGAGGAGCTCCGTTTATTGGGAAATCTCAAGAAAGCATATTGACAAAGTGAGGTGATGAATCAGACTGACCTGTAACAGCTGCATGGCTACCTCGTAGATTTCCCTGGAAGAATCGGCGGCTTTGAAAAGAATCAGGTTCAGCAGCACCACAGTATCAAACTGATAATCCCTAAAGGAAGAAACAAGTTAGATTTTAATATATAGTCAGAGAAAAAGAGCCCAGAGGAAAAAAGTATTAAATTCCAACCTGCTAATGTTTAGTACCTGTTATGAAAGACATTGGCGATGGCCTTGAAACAGCCAGCAGCTACGCGCCGTGAGCCGGTGTAGCATCGATCCACAGCCCAAAACATGAGATTGCTCTGGTCTGGATTCAGCTCCAGCAACAACATTACAGCCTCACAACCCAGCTGGTGAACCTGTAGGACACAACAGGTCAAATGCTAAACTAGGAGAACGCTTCTTTATAGAAACGATTTAAAGGTCAAAGTTTCTACCTATTTATGAGATAAATACAGATAAAAAAGTGGACGCCTCAAACAGCCATGATCAGAACTTTAAACAGATGCGTTATTAACACAAATGTCATTCATTTGGGTTTTACTGGTGCATGTTAAAGGTGTTCTTGTGGTGGAATGATTGCACAACAAAACACTTCTACAAATTTTAAAAGCGTGAACCTATAGCATGTGTTTGATTCTCTTCTGCATTTTTTACCTTTTTATTGTCAAAATTATAAATACAGCCTCAAATATATGGATAACATTCTATCTAATATGTAGTTAAAAAATGCACAGATGATTAAAGATGATTCAGAGGCTTATTTAACCAAATGCCATGTCTTGTATTTGACCTGGCTTTTTACTGTAATCTAGGAATGAACACTGGGTTTGAGACCAGGGCTATTACAGAAACTGCTTCATTATTCCATAAATATAGTTTAAATTTAGGGCCATTGTTCATGAAGAACAATCAAACTAAGTTCAGCTGCTATCCCAGCTAGCTGCTACTTTAGCTAGTTTGGGGTGAAGTAGTGGAGCCGCCGTCACGCTTTGACAGCTGCTGCTACGAGGAGTCAAGGTTCACCCTAACTCCTCATGCTACTCTGGTGACTGTTGCCAGATTACTCAACAATTACTAATACCCAATCATAAAAAAATATAATAATTATAAAATTTTTTTTTTTTTTCTAGAAAACAACCCAAAAACAAATGTGTGAGTGGAAGCAGAAAATCTCAGTCATAGTTTAAGGTCATTATATTGGAGTCAGACTTGTGTCCATGGCAGCACCATCTCTGTTCATACTTATATTAAATAAGGGAGTTTAAAATTAAAAATCATTTTATTAATCTCAAAGGGACATTAAATTATCATACAGAATCCCCCATCTTAACACACTTAAAGTCATGTTTAAAAGCTATGTTTGCATAGCAAAGATGCTGCTACATTCATCATTTTGGCATTTGACCAGAATTTGGTCGGCAAACTGTGAGATATTACCTACTGTAACATTTGAAATGTAAGTAGTATAAAAAGTTAATACGCTAAATGAAAAATGCAACTGCCTTTATCAGTATTAATGTGGGTTAATAAGGTAATAACTATTTATAAGGCTATATTGTAACAATACATTTATTTATTTATTTTTTCTTACAGAAAACCTTTTTCTTTTTACCATATTAGAGCATGTGACCATTTCGGGTCATCACAATGACCTTAATTTTTGCCATAAAAATAGATATTTTGTTTAAAAAGTAATAAATTCTTGTTCTATCCACTAACAAACGCATTTAGCTTAAAAGTCAAATTTTCAAATTATTACACTGAGTTCTCTTGAAAGGGTTAATGGCTAAAAATGCTTGTTGTTAAGGAATGTTTAGCTGCCAACTGGGGGAGTACTGCCATATCTGTACTTGAATTGGTATGCATAATAAAACTTGCTTATCAGTTCATTCTTTCCTATTCTGCACTTGGAATGAGAATAGCAGGGAAAGAACACTAACAGTCATAACCATCGGTGTATGTAAGCCTCTGAATGTAAAGAGAGTACACCACTGTTTGCAGAATCACAAAGCCTGGAAAATAAATTGCAAAGTCCACTGGAAGCCTAGCTAAGAGTTTTAACTGCTGTCTGCTCATTGCAAAAAAAGCTCAAACCAACAGCAACAGTGCGCTCACCTTCTTGTCATGTGAATCCAGAATGTTGTCCAGCCACTTGTAGAGGTAGCCATCCGAGGACAGACCGACATTATCAGCCACAGGTCCGCAGCATAACACAGCAGACATGGCCTAAACAAGGAAACAGCGACGAATTTACAGAGAGAATGGCAGGAGAGGCTGATATTTAGATCATTCTAGACGGGTCTACCTTTAGAGCACAGTACTGATGGCGGTTGATCTGCATATTTCTGTCACTATAGCGATCCAAAGGAGTGAACATGATGCTGAAGGGTCCAGCCCAGTGACTAAACAGCATGAAGAGACTGTGTCGCAGTGACTGCTGAGGGAAGATGGTCCTCCTCTGGTTTACTGAAAATCAGGAAATAAAGCCTCATAAAGACATTTTTTTTTTTATGTTTGATTTCACCGGTTTATCTTAAACCATACCTGAAACATTCTGAATGATGTTGGCCACTAATGCGCTGAAGTGACTGCGAATGTCCTTCAGCGTGTCCGAGTCCTTGTCGTTTTCTGCCTCCAGCAGCTGTCTGGTGAGATCCACGTACTCCAGCAGCGTGCTGTTCAGAGAGTGGCTCTCTCCATCCAAACCTCCACTTGATCTGAAAACCACAGAGCAATTTTAAGCTTCATGAAGCTGCCTTAAGAAAGGAAACGTTGACGGTCTCCATTTTTGGGTTACATACACATGGCTGATGACACCAGCATCAGCGAGTAGCTCAAATATCCGGACCAGCTGGACCCTGAGGATGTCCCGACGCCTGCGTCGCTTCATGTTCTAGAAAGATGAAAACAAATTCATCAAATCCGAGTCTCACTTGAAAAATAAAAGGAGCACAGATAAAGTTCTCAATGAGCCACACTTACTTCTGGTCTTCTTTCTAGAGCTTCTTTTATGATCGGGTTTAGCTCCTCTAACAATTCTCTGAAGAAGAAAAGGCTTAAATGTAAACAATAATAAAAAAAAAACAAAGATCCAAACATCTACACGTGTTAATTACAGAGTTTTAGGTTTATTTTAACCCATTTTTAAGACTAAAGGCAGATGTTCAGCTAATGAGAGTGGATGGAAAGCATCTTTAGACACTCTGGAAGTAGAATTATTTAAAAAAAGATGTATTTTCACCTTTTTAAATTCAGAATACAAATGGACCCTGGGATGTACATGGTCGTATTGGGCAGATGTTATTTTCTCTTTACCTGAAGACAGCAGGGTTGGTCCTGCCAAGCCCCAACACCAAAGACTCGGTGATGTCCATGCTCTCAGAGCGCATCATAGGAACGATGTGTTTAAACAGGGAGGAGGGGGACGGAGTCCCAACAATCTATAAACACACAGATTGTCACACTTAGATCACAATGCTGCTGCCGCACATTCTCTGTTTGCAGCCATGGTAACAGCAAACATGATAAAACATCCTGCTTGTTTGAACAGCGGTCAGTTTTGTGCATTTTCCTCTGACCTTCGAATCGTAACTGTAGCCGCTGTCCGGCGTTGACGCCAGCGTCTCGGGCGGGGAGCAGCGGACGGAGCCAGAGGTGGAGGAGGAGGAACACGAAGAGGAGGAGGAAGAGGCGGAGCTGCAGCACAGAATCAGGTAGTTTCTCCAAAGGCCAATGTAGGAGTCACTGCTGTTGAGACTGTTCACCTTTTTGGCATTGATGGGACTACTGCAAGGGGGAAAAAAAAACAAGAAAAAGGTTGAAAATACATCAGGGAGATTTTTTTAATGTGTCACTTTCTAATAACACCTTCACTAATTATGGAAAAAAACATAATCAGTGAGAAAAACAAGAAAAACATACTTAATGTCAACTTGTGGAGACAACAGCTGAAGGCGAGTGTAGGCAAACATCCAGGCGTAGTTGAGTGCAGTGGGGCAATGTTTGGGCAGGTTCTCCTGCCGCAGATAGCTGGAGAAGCTGATGACCCAGGGGTCTTGGCCCTGCGTGACGTGGGCAAACACCCAGATGTGCGAGGGGCTCACCACATCAAACTGGTGACTGATGGGAGAGGAACTCCACTCTGCTAGCGTTTGGAGCTCGATCCCACTGGGACAATACAGCAAGTTGGTCTGCAAGGAAAAACCCAAAGGTTTCATATGATGTGCTGATGTTTGCTTTGTGCTGAAGTAATAAAGAAAACATTTTACCTGGTCAGCTCCAGTAAGATGAATGAAGCTCTCCAGCACAGATGCGCTTAATCTGTCCATTACATCAATAGCCAGTTCCTCATCTCCCTAAAGAGAAAAAAAGTCTATGAAGTCGATTTAAATATAGAAACTCCTTCACAAACCTTTTCACTTTTTTATTGCAACCGCAAACTCCTTTATGTTTTATCAAATACTTCAACAGAAAGCAGAACATTAAAAATAAATGAAACAAAGGGGAAAATGTTTTGTTAATAAATCCTGAAAAGGGTTTCATTCATTTGTTTTTAACCCCCTTTACTCTGATAGCCCTAAATAAAACCCACAGCAGCCAACTTCCTTTAAGTCATTCGTCTCTGCAGGGATGAACGTTTTAGAAAGACGGTTTTACTTCCATCATCTGTAACTTCCAATAAATAGATCAATAAAACCATCCCTTAAACTGTTAATGTTCCAGGTTCCCTGGCTGTCTGTTCATTTCGTAGGTTAACATTAGTACTGGATGTGTTTACTGTGGAAAACGTATTCCCAATTCTAGTATTGTATATTCACAGTAGCGCAGCTTTAATGCTGCCCGTCTGTTGGAGGAGTCGTTACACAGTTCATGCGGAGTAAGAGGAGCTGTTGTGGCCATAATCTTTCCTGCTGTCTTGATCAATCTCGATTTGACTGTTAAATTACCAAACCAACAGGTGATGTAATACCTTAATGCAAACTCACTGGTTGCTATGTAAAAAAAAAAGCTGCATCATATCTTAAAAAAAAAAAAAAGAAACACACCAAGCACTGATCCTGCAGAGAAAGTAGAGGCCCTGGTGACTCTGATAAAAAAAAAAAAAATTGCACTTGTTTTCAAACTTAAATGCGGACTGTCTGAGGACGTTCACCAGCAGGATGTTTTGCCCATGTAACTCCACCTGGAGGAGATTCCCAACAGTCCCAGAATCCACCAGCTGCGATATGGAAGCAGGTTTGATCCCTATCTCTACTTTAAAAGCATCTTTCTAACATATATTACAGGTCTGTGTTTGTAGCTGTTGTCCTAGCATGAGGTGAACAGCAGACTCAGGTCATCTACAGCCTCCAATAGGATGTACTCCAATCATCTGTAATTAGCTAACCTGCTATCAGCCACATTGTGTAGTTCATTTTGGAAAGCTTCATGTAGAAAGTGTTCATAAAAGGGAGGGACATTCAGTACAATTGTTCAAGCTGATTGGGTAACGGGCTCCCATGTTGAGTTTTTAGCCAATCACAGCTGCAGTAGGAGCTGAGATGCATCACATCCTTGATTTGTTTCACAACTAGAGAAGTTAACTAATAAATCAAACTCCTACCAAATCTGGTCAGCAGGAAATAGTAAACATCTTTCCATCCATAAAGGTAAACATGGTGTCCTTTTGATCGTTTTTCAAAGAGATAAGACTGTTTTCAAGCTAAAACTGGAGCAGCCATCTTTGTTTTGCTTCAGCCTTCCACTTCTGGTAGATGCATTGACGTCATACTCGTCTCTGCATTCAATTGGTCATCTTGATTGCAAGGTAAGTTATTAGCTATATCCATTTAAACCAATCAGTACCAGCTTCACTGCCCCTGCTTAAGAAAATGATCTACACAGCATAATGCTGCCACCACCATGCTTTAGGGTGAGGTTAGCATGTCTAATGTGATGTTTTTTTTTCCCCTAAACATATTTTGCATATAAACCAATAATAACTGAATCCATACAAGCAAAATACCATTGTAAAGGGCTCCTTAGATTTCAGGCTTTAACTTGCTGCACACTGATGATATATTTGGATTGATTCTAAACACCTTTCTTGTTCAAACCTGGTGTAGATCTTTAATGGCTGTGATGTTGAGGCTAATAGAAAGTGGGACATTTTCATCGCCATAATTAATCATTTCCTGCCTGTTTATGTATATATGTGTTGGGTTTATCAAACTAAATCCCAGTTGAAAGCAATCCATTTTGCTGCTATATACAAAATTTCATGAATTCTTTTGAAAGGTACTGAGAATCTGAAGTGTTACCTTGCCGATTCCGAGCGCTGTGTGCAAAGCACGGACCTCCTTTAACACATGGACCGCTAGTTTGCGTGTGGCGGGTCGGCAACTGCAGAGCACAACCAGCGCTAAACCCTCCACAACATGAAGCACCCCTAAAGGTGGGGTACGATCCAAGGACAGAGAACGGCTGCTGGTTGAGCCCTTTAAGGTAAAAAAAGGCTAAATTAATGTCAATAAAACTATTTAATAACGTTTTCAATATGGTGCATGAAGATACTAACAAGACTAACTTGTGTATCGTGGTTCTTATTGCTGCTCTGCACTGCCTGCTTCCACTGGATGATGAGCTGCAAAAGCATCTTGACGGCGTTGTCCAACAGTGTGGGGTGAACATCCGTTACCTCTCGGACTATGAAATACGCAAACCCAGAGAGGACGTCCTCCCGCCACTCAGGGAAATCCACCATAAGGGCCTGAAGGGTTGTAAAGGCAAGGCCACGCAGCTCCTCGTCCATGTGGATGGTCAACCTGGAGAAGTTAAACAGATCAGGTATGAACAGGTGATGGATGAGCCTTAAATCTCTTAGATAAGAGTATCTGATGCATCTGAGGAAGGTTACTGAGGGTGAATTTACTTGGCTAGGAGTTCTATTAGTTCTTGTCTACTCATGCCATCTGGTATGAGTCTTGGGATGGCGGCCACGCATGTCCGGAACAGATCTATCTTTGGTTTTCTCTCCCCCCTGCAGCACAGTTGATGAAATCAAAGTCATTCCCAGGAGCTCAAGCGGGAAACCAACAGTATGCATATATGTTGGGTTTACATACGTGATCATATCCTCAGGCTCTTTATTAGACATCTGAACACTTGTCATGCTCATTGAACGTCCCACCTCCTTGTCCAGGTGACGCAGGATGTTATCCAAGGCTTTTCTGACTTGTGGATAGTACATTGACATGCCTGGGGGAGAAGAAAAAAAAAAAAACTCAGCCTACTTAGAAATGTATATATTTATACACACCGGCCCAATGAGAAAATACTGAAATATCAAACCTACCGATGACTTTTGCTTCCTCGTCAGTGAGGGTGGTGTTTAGGAAGATCTTTTTGACCCGCAGCGTGTTCCCAGAAGGCATGATGATCCCAGTGGTAGGCATCGGAGGCTCCCCATCTTTCTGCTGCAGGCTGTCAGCAATCACCAAGAATGCTCGCAAACCAATATTCATCCTCTGATGGAGCAGAAAACACAGTGAGAACAGAAACCAGCTCTAACTAATCTCATAGTTAGATCTGGTGTATTACATACCTCTGGATTGATGGTAAAGGTTTTGTGAGACTTGCCCACACACAGCAGGTCATAGATAAGCTCCTTCATTGCAAAGTCAAGTCTTTCCTGAAAATAACCAACAGGCGAGACAATTAAACCCATTCCTGTCTACGTGGGGTTTAAGTTAGTCCTTTTAAGAGTTTGGGCTCCAGTTCTGACCTGGGCTATGAACTGGATGATCTTGACGAAGATGTTGAGGGGAGTGTCTCTGGGCACCACACTGCGGGAGCCTTTGGGGAAAAGTGCTGACACGATGCTGAGCAGTCGGCTGAGGAGTAAAAACAGGCAGTTAAGCATAAAGCACTGAACGCACAACTTCACTGATTCACTTTACATTTTTAAAACCTTCACCTCAATCTACTTTATCAGGACTTTATGCAACAGAAAAAAGTAAAACTGATATAAAAATCTGTAAAAAGCATTAGTATAACCAGTTCCTTGACATTTAAGCCTGTCATTTTCAATATGACAAAATGTAAAAGGAAAAGAAAAAAAAAGGAATGGTTTTGTTAACCTTTATATTCTAAAAGGATTGTTTAATAAGAACAAGTTCTACAAACAATGCTTGGATGGAAGCTTCTAAATGGTTAAACTGCAGCAGGTTATGCAACTGACCTCTGTGTGACCGTGTTACTCTCACACTTGATTCTGATAATGTAGACCCAGAGCAGCCTGTAGAGCGACTCCAGCGCCACGCGGGACATTTTGGGATCTTTGTTCTATAGATGGGAGAAAATGAAAAAACCAAACATTTTACCGTCAGCAGCTAGATTAGTGTCAACAACTTCATCACTCACCTGGGAGACCAGAGAAGAAAGTAAAGCACCAATGAAACTTATTAACTAGTCCCTCTAGACCAGCAGTACAATAATCTTAACTCTTACTTTTATCTATAAAGTCTTACTTTCATACACTAACTGGGTTATAATGAAGGCAGTTTGCATTAAGTGTAGGGATGTGAATTGAAATCCGTGTGTTCCAATTCCATGGCACCGTTTGGCAGCTCGCTTAACGATTCTCTTAACGATTCCAGGCAGCACCAGAGCCTAGCGCTGGGCAGCACGATTTACGTCATGTTTTTTACGCAAGCTACGCACACGGCACTCAGTAAGCAAGTATGACGTGACCAGGGGTAAGTCTAGAAAAGCAAAACAAAAGTGGTCAAAGCGATTAAAAGATTGGCTTCATTTTAAGGAAGAGAAAGATGACAACAAGGCGCTTTGCAATCACTGCAAAGTGGCAATAACATCCGCAGGAGGAAATGCATCTAACATGTAGAAACACCTGCGCACACAACATGGCATACATTTTAACGAATGTCGTGTTTTTGATGCTCTCAGACAAAAGCTAAGTTTACGACCAGCATGGAAGGCAACTCTGGTGGTAAGTAGCTAGTTTTATATCAATGGCTGTGTTTAATGTGGTTCCTAGTAAATCATCTGCCATTTCAGGAAATAAACCAGTTTCCTATCTTTCTTTGGGGTTATTAAACATGCTAAGAATTTGCTTCGCAGTTCAGGGAGCAATAGAAAGGTGACGCTCGTTTATTTAAATCAGGGGGAGATGAGTTTATTTCGACAAATTGTACAGTAATGCTTTTTCATTAAAAGGATGCCTTCTCCATTAGATTTAGATGACTGTGACGCGACGGGTAGCCTGGCTGGCGAAGAGGCTGGCGGCTCCCGTTCACTGCCTTCTGATTTAGCTGAGGCAGGTAGAAATAAAATGTCCCAGGCGAAGGTAGACGAATGTCACCGTGCGTTTACCAAGTTCAATGTTTCACAGGATCGATAAGAGAATCGATAAGGAATCGTATAGTTTCATAGAATCGATAAGGGAATCAGAATCGTATGAATTCCTGACCCAGTTAAGTGTTAACTGTACTACTTGGTTCTTTGTGAACTCTAGGTGAAACAGAAACAAGCTTTCAGGTATTTAAACTAAAATCTAGTGATTCATTATAAAAGCAAACCAGTAAGATTCGTCTAATAGATGATGTGCCACCAGATCAGCACTGAACAAACTAGATAAACATGAAAATGGATGCCTGATGGTTTAAATTCTCAAGGAACAAGTGATGGATGCGTCCATCTGTAAGTAAATGGGACTGGTTCAAAGGGGTTTACTGATTTATAAATATAATGGCTGTTATTTTAGCACCAGCTGATTCCTATTTCAACCGGAACATCCACTGAAAACAAACCTTTGTTTGTTTAACAGATCTGCTGGATGTGAGTCCTAAAACACATTAATCCTGTCATTTAGAGTGATGCAAGAACTGAATAAATGATAAAAACAAACTGACCTCATGATCAGGTTTTTGGGAATATATCAGCCTAATCAAAGCCATCCCTACCTAATAAAGCCAGCGTAAGTAACGGAGAAGGTCTACTGGCTGCACTCAAACGTAACCCTGACTTAGATGGAGAATCCTTCAAGAACAATCATACATTAAACATTTACTCATCTACCGTTGTCTCTAACTTAGTGCAGACAGAATCTGTAGTTTGCTTTAAAAAAAAAACAATACTTGTGCCAGGACAGAAATAATGAGAGTGGAAGTGCAGCACCAGAACCATTACAGTGCAACATATATGCAGGTGTGTTGTCACCCGTTACAGCAGTTCTAACCAAATGTGAGGGAACCATTAGACGCACTAATCTGAAGAAACACAGTGAAACAAGGTGTCTGAGATCAACAGTGTGCATGTTTGATTCTGTATGATAAAAACAAGAAAGTAAAATTTAAGCCAAATCAAAAGATAGACAGTTAAAAGTTTTGGAAACATATATATAATGAAAAGAGCTTCCGATATATATTTTTATAGCAATATACCCCAATTATCAACCTCTTTGGAGTATCAGCAGATTATCAACTTTTAACCAAAACAGACATGAAGCTCTGTAAAGGTGCATTCAGACCGAGCACGTTGTCTATGGCGACGGTGGTGGATTTACATGCATCCCTATGCAAACTAGGCGGGGAAGCGGCAAGCAGTGAATCCCACAAGGTAAGGGCGTTCACTCCTCTGGTCTCCCCCGGTGCTTCTAGATAGAGCTGAGGTGTTGCCAAACAGCAGCACCACATGAAGAGAGAGGAGCGGCGATCGCTGAAGTTTAAAAAAATAACTTTTCCATGAAATCGCCACACGGAAACCAACTAGGGACTGGTTTTAGGAAAAGCTCTTTTCAATTAAAATGGAATACAGAGAAAATAATGTTAACAAAGTTAGAGATAAGGAGAAGGGATGCTCTCAAGAGGTCTTTAGGTGGTTATCAAGAAAAGCAGTTTTAATTTAGCCCTAGCAGGACTGTTCATGATTCTCCCTTACCTCCACTACAGAGCCCTGTTTGTCACTGCCCACTGCCTAGGGTGGTGCTTTCTACAAGGGTAGATTTACAATTGTCATCCAGACACTCGATTAACCAAAGTGGAACCAAACTTGTTCATAGAGAAAAATGTAGCAGCAGTTAACGGTATAAAGGAGGATGCTTTTTTTTCCAGGTGAATCATCTAAATAAGTGGTCCTCCTAATTCTCAATTCTTCTGGTGATATGTTTACATAAGGCCGTCCTACATGCTCATACCCATTTTCCCCTACCGGTGGCGAGTCTGACACAGTGGAAAAATTGCAAATCTTCTTTGCATGAGCGATGCAAACAGCAACTTTTAAAAAGAGCTCGCAGAAGGTGAAAGGGCTTGTAAATGCTCTTGCACGCTTTGATTAGACATCCCCTCTCCAAGCAGGTACAGGGTTGGGTATGTGGATTTTTTTTTTTTTAAGTGGAGAGGGCGGGTCTTTTAAAAAATTTATGAAAACCCTCCACTATAGATTTAAGTTTCACCTGAATTTTTATTTAGAAACGCCGACAGTGAGATCTTGACAGGAAATGTCATGGGGTTGCCGAGGGTAACGGCAAGTCCTAACTGGGAGGTTGATGAGTTACTAAATATTAAACAATGATTCTAGCCACTAAATAAGGTAAACATGCCCACTATGATGTAAATTACACTTAATGGGGGGATGGTTGACCTCTGGAGGACCTAAAAAATAATCTTTAATATCTCTGTTACAAAGGTAGAGCACATTTTATTTTTTATAAATGCACAAACCTGCACTAATGAAGCAAGACCATTCAGTCTATTTCCTGAGTTTTTTTTATTTATTTATATATATGTGTGGTTTCAACCTCACGCAGCTGCAACTCCTCCTAATTGATGATGCGTTCCGAGGTGTAAACACTGTTTGCATCTGAAATGTAAAGCGGTGAACTCCCCACGGTGCTCGGGGAAATAACTGAGGACACCGTGTTTGGTCTGAATGCACCATAAAGCATCCAGGTGCTAACCAACATCACCTGGTCTGGCAAAAACAAACCAAAAAAATCCCATGACTTTTTTCCTGGTTTAAACACCAAGTAATCCCCACTAACAGAGTTGAATTTTAGTCTTCTCAGATCCTAATGGATAAAAAAAGGCAACAGAGTCCAGAAAAACACTACTAAGAAATTGGTTTCTTAATACAAAAAATGTCAATAGACTTGCAACTTGCTCTTATTTTTTTTCTCATCTTCTCTGTAGCATATAGTTTCAAAACATTCAAAGATATTATTTATGGCAAATATCTCATAGATCAATCTCCTCTGTCATGAACGTGTTTTCCTACATTTATTGAACGGTCACCATGTTAGCTATGCAACAGAGGTATTTATACAAATAAAACCACACTAAAATAGCTGCAAGCATCTCTCTGTATCTCTATGAAAGACAAATTATCACTTTCCACCAAACAACACATCAATAACCCCAATTTATATCTATGGCAAGAATTGGCAGCGCTGCATGAAAACAAACCAGTTCAGTCAAACATGAGCCTCAGAATGTCTGAGTGCTTCATGATTTAACTTCTCTTCTGACTCTCAGATTCACTATAACTCTAAGAAAGCCAAACTCAGGGCTCCACAGCATAGAAAGCAGAACTTTACCGGCTGCCCTACATCCTGATTTGGACCGTTACAGGAGGGTGGGGCACCGGGCTACACGCCAACACCGGATAACTCACCTGCAGCGTCTCAATCTGCTTTCTGATGCTGTTGTTAGACGGCATCTGGAGCGAGTCAACGTGAGGAAAAACAAATGACAGGAAACAAAGAATGTGGGGTTCAGGGAGGGACACATGCAAGTTATTAACAAAAAAAAAAAACAGAACAAATATGACAAGAAAAGCAACAAAATGAAATATCCTGTTGTGAAAATGAATAATGTCAAATGGAAAAAGCCATAGTGAACTGTTCAACATGCCCCTTGGGGATCAAGTTGCATGTTAGTGTTATTAAAATGACAGTTCATTTAGGTTAATGTGTAAACATGTCAGTGTAGAAAGAATATATTAGTGTGTCAATGCTACAGAAAACTAAGGTGTGTGCAACAGTTTGGAAATCAGAGAAGGAAACAAAACACACAGGAGTGGCTTTCACAGAAAAAAGGACATGAAACACGACAATAAAATTAATTAGAAGGATTCCTGCCTCTTCTAGCGCACCGACAATCAGCAACGCCCAACTTAGCTTTTGATTTCAACCCATATCCAAAACACTCAAAATGCAAGGTGTCCTATTTTAACCCTGTGGGAACCATCGTTTCTGGATAAAAAAGGCTTTAAATAAGTCAGATTTCATGCATTTACTTTTATTTCACATTGCAATCGATATGGAATAGTTATTAATCAGAAATAGTCATGTTAGCCATACAGCCTTTGAAGATTACCCACAGAATTAAAATCATCCAACAGGTGGATAAAATGATTTCCAAAATCATCACAAACATTTCAGACAACTCTGTAGATTGAACTCAACCAAGACATTGATTTTAAATGCAACAAGAGGCTAGATTTACCGCCCAAATTCACTGCAAATTACCCTCACAGATGAATGAACGACAACAGCATTTCAACAGATCACAGAGGCAACCACAAGAAGTAATCAGTGTTTAGAGGAAGAGAGGCTCATTGAGTCCGTCAGTCAGTTAGAGAGCTGGTCGATCAGTCGCTGGGGTCAACGTTCAGGAGCAAGAGGAGGACCAGCTTGATCTGTTTGTAATTGGTTTACAAAGAGTCAATAAAAGACCTGAGGTAAAACAGCACTTGAGACCTGATCGTCGGACTTTGAGGAGCTTTATGATAAAAAGAACCAAACTTCCATCGGCAACCGATTGCTTCAATTCATGCTTTGATATTGCAAATTGGCTAAATTGACTAAAGGGTGTCTTGTTATTTTCTTATATCAAGTGCTATTCTTTTCAGATCTGCTTTATTGATAATTAAAGGGAAAGAACATTATGGTATTCGGACAAAAACACAGAGCACACAACTGCAAATCATAACTTACCGTCTGTTTGCTAACATTTCACCATATAGCAATTTACAATGATTGAAGCCCATGCTAAATAAGCTGAGTATATGAGCCTGAATTAGAGCCTAGTGGTGTTATTATACCTTCAAACAATGAATATACTCAGACCAAGTTCTAAAAACTCTACTAATCTTTAATGGTGGATGAATTTGGTGTACATTTGTGGATGGCAGTACCTTCAGGTGTGAGAGGCAGTTCTGGAGGAAGATGTGCCAGTTGTTGAGGAAGAACTGCTTCTGACTCACACAGAGCAAGCAAGTCACCAAAGGATAAAGAGCCTGGGGTGGAAAATAAAACACACTCCACATTAGACAATGACTTACTTATTAGGGCTTGAAATTTCACAGGGAACATGTGGAGCTCCTCCTTATTACCAAAGAGTGCTTCTTTCTGGAGCTAAGGTCAAACGTCGTCTGGTAAAGCATCTCCACAAACGTTTTTAGGCACGGCACGTTGACTTCATTCTTCACCGCCTGACAAGGAGTGAAACATTCGACTTTCGTGTCAACAGAACAACATCACGTTTGGCCGAATGTTTAGGGAATTACTTACAGCGGCGACAGGAATGAGGATTTCAACGAAAAGACCAGCTAGAGCATGCTTTATGTCTTTATCCTTGACTTCAAGGAAATACTGGGCACACTCCTAAAAAAAGAAGGAAAAATGAAAACTGAAACCATCCTTGTTTGATCAAACAATGCACTCATTGATGGCGATGAGGCAGGAAATGGTCTAAATTTCAACCTGAACCCAAAAGGTATTGTGATTTTCATTAAAAGTAAATGCAAAGCAAACAGGAGCAACCCAGGTTGCAACTACAACACTCATCATAGTGGGAGAGGAAATTGAGAAAAGGGTGTGCTGCAGAATTTCCCTCAGTGAACGCTACGACTGGGCCGTCCAAGCTGCAGAAATGGTAATTGAGAAAAAAAGGAGTTCAGGTGGGTTTACGTAGTTTGTCAGGCAATTATCGGTGCACATAGATATCCATTCTCATCGTCTGATGGCCCCTTTTTTATTTGTTTTGCCTTTTTGTTTCACTTGATGGATTGATTATTTTATTCTTAAATACACCCGGACATTTTATCCTGTTTGAGGTGTGTAACGCAGGAGCTTGGTGCTGAGACCGCTGCTGCTTCTGGCTGGAACCATTTGGTGACCCACACAGCATCCACACAGCTTAGATAACTGCATCCGCACCGTATCACGGCTGATGTGAGGGTACACATTGATTTTAATCATGGAAAACAGTAAACTGAACATATTACACCTGATTGGCTCAGCTATCCTGATGAAGAGTCCACCTCTGTCACCCATGGGACATGATAAATATGCAAATATTAGAAACCCTGTGAAGTCTAGCAGAGAGGTAGGGGTCTCCTAAATATACAACTGAAGACTGTTTTACTAAAATCAATCACTAAGAAGGTTACATCTTCAAATAATCTAGCATGTAGGAAAGATATCAGTAGGTCATTTATGGTAGGAATTGGTTAAAACTGGTACCAGCAGGTCAGAATTAATTTTAAAAAATTTGGGTCAAATGTGGCTCTGATCCCTCCAACTGGATTGGCCAAGAAAGTAAAATGGGTACGGATTTGTTAATGGTCTTTAGGGGGTTCTGACAGTTCGTTAACTCGCTGGTCAGAGTGATTTTGGTCCCATGCCTCATTGAACTATGCTAGATATGCTAGAAATAACACCCAACATGTTGGATTAACCAATTAGGGAATATTTATCAATGAAAAAAAAGCCAGAGAAAGAAAATAAAGTTTGTCCATTTATAATTCTTGGCAACATCTAAGAAAGAATTCAGAAAGAAAAAATGCTCTTCTTTAGAAAAAAAAGAGTAGCATAAAGAGCAAAACAAAACATGAAGTAATGCGTCAAGAGATTTATTCACCACAATTAATCCAGAAGAAATCTAAAATCTTACCTGCATGAATTGAAAAGAAGCCTCAAAATCCTCCACAGGATACATTTTGACCCGGAAGAACTTCATGCCCATGATGAGACTGATAATGCTCTGCACTACGTATGGACTCTGCTCTTTCTGCCGAAGCTCCTTCAGTTCTGTGATGAATTTTTTCCTCACTGCCTGAAACCTGAAAGAACACAAGAGACACTTATCTACGCACACTAATCCCCCAATAAAAAAGGATTCACTAAGAGAAGAGGAATAAGAAAAAATAAAAACTGTATGTGGCTGAGCACATGCTTAAAGGTTATACTTCAGCATACTCACTTGGACTGTGTGAGAACTCCTATGACCTCAGCATACAAGTCTGCAATGATGTGCACATTCCCAGTGTTGGGGCCGCTGTATCTGTAACATTAAAAAAAACACAAATCCACATCTTCAAATCTTGGGTTTGTTATTATGGTTTTATGGTATCCCGTGAGGAATTATGGTAACTTACCCCTCTTTGTGTTTAAAGTGCTTGAACGCCAGGTTTAGAACTTCATGTACTAAAACATCCGGCACTGGATGAAGAGGAATCTGAGGAGCAAACATGGCATCATTAGTCTCATTAGAAGCATTGATAGTCCGTCTTCTTTCTCTTGGCAGCCCCTTTTCACCCCCACCCCACCCCCTCCTGCATTAGCAAAGCCAAGGACAACACAGCTCGGGTCTCGGAGGACTGGCCTTCTCCTCAGAATGGAGCTTTGATTTCAACAATCTACTTTAGAAACACTCTCAGCTGGAAGCTGGTATGTCGCCAGCGACTGCATTTATTCTCTGTGTTCCCATGCAGGAGAAGTCACTGTGGCAATGCGGAGCTACCAAGCATAAAGACACCAAATAAAAAAAAAAAGATCTTGGTTTACAAATCACCTAAGTGTCAGATCAGTAAAGTGTTGGTAAACTAGTTCAACAAACAACCACAGTAGCAACTAAGAAGCAGCATTTCTTCACAGTGAGATGTATTTCTGGATGGTCGACTCAGAGCAAACCGAAAACTGGTTCTATGTAACTAATGACAGGTGAAATAACACTTAGAGCGGAAACCCCTAGTCTTATTAAGGGGGGTTGATTATTTTCTAGCATCAGTAATGATCAAAAACACATTAATAAGATAATGTAATGTAGGTTTTCTAGTCGTTTGCAGCCCAAACTGTTCATAAGTAGTGGATATTATTTAACTAAAACAGTGAATCACTCACCTGTTTGAGAACTTCCACTGAAACTAAGCAAAAAATAAAATCTATGGCTAAGTCCCGTCGTTCTAGAAGATAATCTTTGTCCCGGTGCTGTTCATCTCTGCAAAACAGCCAAAGAATATTCAGGTTTGAACCAAAATACTTTCAGGTAGACAAATAATTTACATTATAATTTTTCTTGCGCAAAAAATAAAAGGCAAAGACTGAAAAAAGAAAAACGCTCATCTCACCCTTTTGATTTTGTACTGGCTCGAGGTCGGTACTCGTAAGGCTCATCTTCAGTGCCGCTCTGCCGCCGGTACCAGTCGAATAGTGTGCGCAGGAGGGAGGGTAAACAGTGTTCTGCTATTGAGCTCATAGAGCTTATTAACTAAAATCATAAAACATAAAAAAAAGGAAAATAATCAGATACCTTTTCGTTTAAGGTAAAACTTCAGAAAATGTTGGTAACCAGGGAAATATCCAATAACTGCCTTAAACGCTTATGGAGATCTTTAAAGACTAAACACAAAACAGAAGATTTGTGCGCTGGTAATGATGCCAATATGAACTCTTAGTGAAAAATGAAAAAATGTAGAAAATCTACTACGAATATACTTCAACCGAGCATTGAGTTTACTGAATGTTTATAAGGAAACAACAATAGATTAATGATAGATACACAAGGGGGAAGAAAAACCAGTATGTCTGTTAAGATTAGTTGCAGAATCTTGCAAAGGTTTCACTGTTTGAAAGACAATAACAATAGTATCTCTGTGTGGCATTAAGCCAAACTCAATGAATCGACCTTAATACATGATCCCAACAGTAGGCACAGTAGTGGTGGCCCATTGCTGAGGGGATTTATTTCTCGGGACTTAATTAGCGTTGCAACTAACTAGGTTTTCAATTAATTTATTTAAAATCTGATAGGAAAAATTTCCTTAAATAAGACTTTTTATGAAATTAAACCAGGTGAGACTAAAATGTTTCCACTTTAGGAATTCTGGATAGAGAATAAAGACAGACAGTACGTTTTATTTGTATTTTTCTTATATTAAATGCAAAATATTTTACATATTGTTTTTACAATTTTGGTATAATTACTGCTCAAGGTGGGTTGTTCTGTCAGCTAAAAGCATGTTTTAGAGTCTCTAATCTCCAGTTAACGATTAACCAATTACTAAATTAGTTCATAATTATTTCAATAATCGATTAATCACGATGAATCCTATTAATTGTTTTAGCCCTAAACTCAAACACGATGTTACCCTGGTAAAGTAGGCGTAAGAAGCTGCTAAAGACTTTTCGCCTTTCAGGAGAGCAATGCTCATAAGCCTGTGGCAAAACATTGAAACTGATGTTCAATAAATAAGAATGGTCCAATATTTTAGTCCCCATGTGTGCAAAGCATTTTGAATGATATCCCAGAAAACAGCGGTTTGAAAATCCAGTTTGACTAGTGTCTAGTTTCTGTGCTTGTTTTTATTTATTTTTTTGATCTTTCAAACTACTGTACTGTGGACATCATCTCGCATTTGCAGCTGCATGTTGAGAAGATGTAAAAACTGGGTGCCATTACTTTGATCGACATGTAAAACATCTTTTTAGCCAAAGAATAATTCCAGAGAGAGAGCGGTCAGGGTGGTTACAGTGTTGAGGCATATTTTGGGTGAGTTTACAGTGCAGAGAGATCAGTTAGTGATGGATGATCGGCAGAAAAGTTATGCAATTCCTCGCTCTGCCCTTATGGTGCCGGCCAAATACACTCCAGCACCCCGTGCAGATTTACTGCTGAGGATGACACAGCGATTCTAAACCCTCACTTTGGCGCTCTATATGCCCCGTCTCTCTCTCTCTCTCTCTCACAATGGGGACAGCTGGATCTATACCATATCCTCACTGGCTTTGTGTTTTGCTGAACAAAGCATTCAGCGGCGGCCCAGCCTATTGTACAGAGATCTGCAGCAGCTGCAGATGAGGCACAGACAGCCCATTGAGTGGGGGGGGATTGATCGGAGACCAAACTACTGCATACACATACAGAGGTGAGGGAGCAGTTGTTGAGGAAGGAAAATGACATTTATTATCTGGCAGTTCTTTATGACAGTCATTATGTGACCAACTTTAATGGGAGGGGTTTTGAACAGTAAGTAGAGGTTTTTACAAGTTTCTTTCTCTGATTTGACACAAGTTATGAATAAAATCATCAGGGAGAATTTTTCATATTTATTGCATCTAGAAAACTAAGAAGAACCATTTATGTGGGTATACACAGCCTTTACTAGGAGGTTCCAAAGTGAGCTGAGGTTCATATCAGCTTCCTCTGATCGTCCTTGATATGTTTCTACAGCTTAAAAGGAGTCCAGCTTTAGTTAATTCCATTGACTGGACATGATAAGATGAAGGCACACACCTGTTTATATAAGGCCCCATAGTTCACACTGGATGTCAGAGAGCAAACACTAAGCATAAGGTCCGATGGTTTAACAGTAGACCTTTTAGACACGATTGTTTTCAGTCACAAAACTGGGAAGGATACAGAAAAATGTCTGCTGCTTTGAAGGTCCCAATGAGCACAGTGGCCTTCATCATTAAAGCTTGGAACCACCAGGTTCCTTCCTAGAGCAGTTGGCCTTCTAAACTGAGCCACTGGTGAAGAAGGGTCTTAAACAGGTAAGGAGGGTAACCACCCCATTGTAACTCTGTCAGAGTGTCTCTACAGAGAGAGCAGAACCTCCATAAATGACAACTATCTGTGCAGCAGTGGACCAACCTGGCCATCCCTTCATAATAAGGAACATGGTAGCCAAAAGGAACCTGAAGGATTCTCAGACACGAGAAAACAACTTCTCTTGTCAAGATAGAGAAAAGATGTGTTTCCATCAACGTTTACAGAATCACATTTTGAATTATCCCGTTAGAAGCGCTTGATGGAAACAGCCAAATTTGAATCAACTTAATAAATTTGGCAAAACAGTTGTTTTGCTCAGTTGAGGTAGTTTTTGACCTCTTTTTTTTTTTGTTAAAGGTCTCAAAAGGAAATGAAAAGATTTTTTGGTTAGTTCCTGACATAGTTAACGTTTACCTCACTGACTGATCAACTGTTTCCACTCCTCAATGCAAGCAATAGAATAGTACTTTTCTCCGGACGTCTCTGGATGGCATGTACCATGGCTAACACCAACATGACAAAGTAAGTTTAGATTGCCTGATGGACTCACAGTCATTATAAACCTCAGTCTGTTAATGATCCATCCTAGTTTGCTACCTCTACTATTATGACGGCATTATGCTTTTCCATCGCCTGGTAATTCGCTCCAATCAAAGTAAACTAATTTGCATTTTAAAAGTTTGCCTAAAATCCACATAATTTGGATGGAAACATGGCAGCAGCTTGAGCACTTTGTTGTGGACAAACCCCTTTCCTACTGGACGAAAAAAAAACCTGTTGAAACCTGTAAACAATCAGCTTTTATTGGCAGTGGGAATGGCTCACTGACCCGACTTTGAAGCGACCCAGGTTAAAATCGTCCTCAAACGGCTCAGCTCTGATTGGCATACAGTGGGACCTACGTAGCCCCACTAATTTACATGATACCATTGAGCGCATCGAACAATAAGTCACAGCATCGCGCCAGTTGTGTCTGATCTAACACCTCAAAACAACTAGGGGTGTAAATCAAACCCATCATGGCGATTTGATTCAGTATCGATTTCTTGACCCAACGATTTGATTATTTTCGATACTCCAGAATCCGCCATGTCTGTCCTGCCTACTGTTTACGCGAGTGTGTGTGTATATGCAAGTGGAAAGAGCATAGTGGCTAAAGGAGGCGAGGTCGGAGGGTAAAATAGGTTTAGCGGGACCGCAGCACGGGAGTCAGAATTATGTTCAGGAGCAAATGGATAAAAATAGACCGGAGGAGAAAAACAAAAAAACAAAAACATGAATCGAGACACGGGCGTGTCAATGCATTGAAACATTGGCTGTTGGATTGATGCATCGATACAAAACGATTGTTATTTACGAACCCTAAAAAGAACTGAGCTTTACATTTGATAAACATGGCACAGCACTAATGAGAGATTCAGACAGACAATAAAGCACATTTATTACAGCCTGGCTCCCTTCCGTGCTGCTCTCCATTCTTTATTTTCCCGATTTTAGTTGAAATTATGACATCATCAACGCTAACACAGCATGATGGCTGACCTGCTAATTTCAGAGGGAAAGAGGCTATTACCCCATTTATACTACCCTTGAAAAACCGATCCATGCCGAGACCGGTCAGAGCTCAGATGAGTTAACCAATCCGAGCTTGGTTCTGACGACCGTTTACACATCACGCCATCTCGCTTCCTCGACTCCTCACCTCCTAGTGTAGATCTGCGGTATTACTGCCAGTATTGAAGGATGAAATCAAGCAGTTGGTGGTGGTAATACACCAAAAGTTGTTTGCCAACCGCCATAAAACACAAAAAGAAGAAGATGAAGAAGGAGGGAATCAGGCAAATCAAATCGGCGGCGCCCGTCACATTCAGAAAGTTAAAATGTTGCATGGACAAGATTTCGATTGTTGTTTATAGTTGTTCTTTTTCTTCTGTTTTGTGTTGGTTGGCAAGCAACTTCCGGAGGGGCATTACCGCCAACTACTGGAATGAAGTGTGAATCGCAATGTCAGATGGAGATGACGCGTTCTGCTCATGCGCTCTTGTTATCAGAGAACCGAGCCAGGGAAAAACCGAGCGGAGCCCACCTCTGGAACTGGTCTGCAGTTAGCTCGGTTCGGTTGTGTCTATCAGTTCAGTTCAGTTTGCTTTCCATTTACACACGATAAGTTATCTCAGTTACTGAGCTTGGACAGGTCTCGGCACGGTTTTTCAAGGGTAGTGTAAATGGGGTATATATTTATAAGGAACCAGGCCAGCCCCATACCTACAGTGAAGCATGGTGGTGGGAATGTTCCAGCTCTAGTCAGATTAGATATTTTCTATCAATATTCTATCTATTAAATACATAAAAATAATGAATTCTCATCGTTTAATTACTAATTAACATTAACTAGATTTCAGAGAGGCAGGTTAGAGACCTGTAGCAGTGAGTTGGACTAATGGACCAAACTTCATTTTCTGGAAAGTATACGCTGAAACAACTAAGTAGTTCCTCAAGGAGAGTTTGTTGTGTTAAGTACTTTGGTTAATTACGTTAAGACAAAATTCACAGCTACACTGACCTGATCAAATTGTGCATCTTCCCCCCTCTGTAGAGATCGGGACAGTGGTTTCTCCTGTAAAAAACGCAAAGAAAAAAAACAAAAAAAACAAGCATGTTACTTATCTGGCTTTGAAAAGTACTATTTTTTACAGCAAATAAATCAACAAAAAAGAATAACATAAGCCTCTGTTGTCAGCATGGTAAAGGAAGCATCTTTTTATAATCTAGTGCATCAGGCACATATATTTGGGAGCTCACCAGCGGCTCGGCCATCACCATCTCGATCTTCTTCTCGGCGAGCACTGCAAACTCAGCGAACAGACTCTTGATGACAAACTCCCCTGGCTTGAGCTCGGGGTCGATGGTGATGCTCGACATGGCGGCGATGCTGTGTTTCTCCCACGAGAGGGGAGTCACAGAGGAGGGGGCACGGCGTCTAAGCACGCTGCTGCTGCTGACAGGTGTAGAAGCTGCAGGGAAGCCAGAGAAGGTCAGAGGTTATGGGGGTAGGTATCCAAGGAGCAAAAAAAAAAACAACAAAAAAAACCACCAATTTAACTTTTTTTATTTTTGCACCGTGAAAATAATGAAACAAAAATTCCATTAGTCTTAGAAATGCATACATGATTTTCTTTTTTGTTTTGGCTTAAAAGATAAGTTTAGAGATTCACAGTTTGATTTAAGTTGTCCTCATATTAACATTTTGTCCAAATTACATTGTTAAATTACAACAAATTTTTAGTAAAGGGTGCAGTAAATTTAAAAACAAAACCCATCTGACTCAGGCGATTAAGAATTTCAAATGTTTTTTGCCAAAAAAAGAAAGTTTGGTTCAGACTGGAACGCCTCTGAGTGCTTCTAAACGAGCCAAAAATACAAAAAAATCAATGAGACACTTTAAAAGTAACAAAAATGGCATAATTTTGTAAATTTTAAATAACTGAAATGATCTGAGAAACAATCAAAACAATTGCCCTTAAATCTACATTGTAACTTACTGCCAACACAGGCTTTAATAAAAATAGGAACCATTTTAAGGATATATTTCATAACTTAGCTTTCCAAATTTCTTATAATATTTTGATAAAAATTTAAAAACCTTCTTTTGTCTGATAAAAATAAGACCTACAGCCACCAAAAGATCAGTCAATTTACCACCAACAGAAGATAATTAACAAACAAGAAAAAAACAAACAAACAAGAAAAAATAAAGTATTTATGACCAGCTGATAACAGACAGGTTGCAACCATCACAGAAAATATAGATTCTAAAGGCTACAAACTAAAGCATGGATGCTAATGTAATAAACCTTAATGTCCTAAAAAGGTACGACTAAATCATCATAATGATTCAGAAAAGCTGTTATTTCACAGCAACATTGAGTCACAAAGGTTTTTTTGTTTTTAAGCTGTTTTGTAGAGCGTATAGGTCATTTATGGGGGTGGAGAAGGAAAGATGTTGTCTGGCCAAGAAGTTTATTTTAGCTTGATGAGCTGTTTCAAAGCTTAGGTCATCGTACTTCTGCTGATATATGATTACTTAAAAAAAAAAAAGGATGTTGGTTTCCAATCTTTCCTTTGCATTACATCATCACTTCTGCTTAGAACAGTTTGCTTCTTTGATTATTAGTATTTTTCTATTTTTTTTTTTAATAACACTTCTCCAAATTTACCCTTTAGTTTTCTTAAATGCAAAATAAAAAGCTCTGATACAGTTCAAATGGTCATATTTTAGAAATACTGTTTAGAAACACATCTCTTTTTCAGTTTGACAAAAAGTCTAAACATTTTGGTCAGAAACTAGTTAAATACATAGAAGTGCTAAGCTAAATTATCCTGGGTAAAAAAGGGAAAAGAAATGCTTCAATAGCAGTACTTTGATTAGCTTCCTGAAACAAATGAAGGTGGAGTCAACGCCTTTGCATACGGTTCACATTATTTGTTATTCGTATTCAAATATTACATGTAAATGTTTGGAGTTTCAGTTTGGGTCCCTTGAGCTGTCTGGGAAACCTGCAGCTATGTGGCCGACTCCTTTTTATATTCTTAAAAGATCAGCACAACGATCGACTCCTTCACAACTTGATGACAGTCAATGAAATGACCTCGTAAATCTGGTATCATGTAGCCAAAAACATAATTGAGGACTAGCTTTGCTGTCAATTACAGCTCAAAACAATACTACCTTTATTTGGCACAGCTACTGTCCATTACATTAAATTTGTCGTCTACATTTAAATCAATGAGCAGCTTGAAGTGTCTGGAGAGCAATCTGGGATGAAGGATCTTACTCAGAGACATGGAATAGCAGTTGGTGTTTAAACTGGGGACGTTATTCCAGACAGCAAACAGCCTGCTCTGCTCTGTAAACACTAAGTTACCACTACCAATAAATCCTGGTTGGTAGATTTATACTTAAAGTCCGTAAAGTCAATTTCATTTTGATGATCAAGTAGTTCAATCAATGTTACTTGTGAGCATTTTACATTCCAACACATATGGTCAGAGAGGAACTAGAGGTGTGAGCAGCCATTTGTTCAGGATGTGAAAAATGTTAAATGTTTTACTACAAAGTTGGTATGTATGAACTTTATAAACTTTTAACTATCTATAACGAAATATACTGGATATGGAAACAGTCTGTACCTGCCTTTTGAAAATATATTCTACATATTCCTAATTAGTATTTTTAAAGAAAAATCTGAATTGACTCAAACTAGCATTGGTAAGTCTAAGTTGATTAAAATATGAAGGTCATGTGGATCTCCACTCCATTCATATATCTGACTCTTTATTGGTACTTTTAAAGTGAAACACTTTAAGGCCAGCCATTCCCCTAAAATCACATCTTATTCTTCTTTCTTATACACTCCAACCATGATCAAACAAATCAACGGCTCTAGCTATAGGGTCAGACAGCAACATTTCCTTCTATTCAACTGGCACATTGTGGTGTTCTTGAGAATTTCTGCTTGAATACGGCACAACTTCCAGTCTGGTTTTCAATGGCCCAACTCCTGCCAAGCAGACAGCCAATAGTAAAGTGACCCATTACCTCTTTCCCTCCCGGGAAATGCCTTTTTCTCAGTCTTCCTGATTACTATAGAAACACTTCAGTGTTTTAAACTGAACAAAGAAGAAGAAAGTATACAGAATTGTTCATTAGCCAACAAAAATGATGCCAACAGTATAAAGATCTGGTTACTACAATCGCTTCCCATTGTTCACCATATCTACTTATTATCCTGTGAGGATCAAGTTCTTTGACCTCTCCACTGCTTCTAATAACATTCAGCATGGATTTCTGAACCAAAAGTGAGAGTTTTCAGGACTTGGCCCCCACCTGTCCCAGGGGATGCTTAACTACCTTGCTATCTGCCCACAGTATGCAAGGACAGAGGCCTGCATCTCAGACAGGCTGGTCTGCAGTACAGGGGCCCTGCAGGGAACTGTCCTGGCACTGCCCCTACCCTGTAGCGTTCTCAATCAGATCCTCAAGTCGCCACCTTGAGATTCCTAGATGACTCAGCAATATTGGACCTCATCAAAGAACTTGAAGAGACATTCTGATGATATGGTTACGTAAGGCCGTCCTACGTGCTCGTCCCATTAGCTATTTTTTTTTTGCTCACACACACTTTCAGTCATAAATTGGTGGTGAGCTACAATTTCAGATAGTCACTGAAGGTCACCTTTCTCACTGCGGTTCTTTAAAAGTGGCCGAGGGTCGTAAGAGAAAAAGTGATTTGCTGTCTCAACGGCCCACTGTCGGCGACTAATAACAAAGATGGCGCAGGCACCGCACGGTGGAGGAGGAGATATGTGACCAATGGTGCGAAAAGCAGTGATCCTTTGTCTGCACGGTCAGCGAACTGAGTTTGCTATTAAGTCCACTATATAGTACCTGCTTTATGTATTGTTGGTGGATTTAGGGGTTAGGGCGGATGTTCGGGCACAGTAAACGTGTATTAGCTATGAGAACAGCAACTGTTAAATACCTCCATAATACCTTTAAAAGCACCACGTGGTCACCTGAACAATAAACTGGTCTGGTGTAACAACACTGATGTCCTTAAGTCTGCCTGCTGAGGAGATTGTGATCTTTTAAGTCTCTTCCCATTTAAATTAGTGGGTTAATCCAGGTTCTTTCAAACAACGGTCGACCCGCTAACATTCCGCATTTGGCTACCTACCCACTGGCCAAAAAAAAGCCGGACCTGACCGCCTGCTGGCTTGCTGGCCTCTGTCGCCCCACCGCTTCGTGTCTGGTGACGCCATCACACCAGGTTAGCATTGAGGATTTCCTCAATGCAACAGAAATCAAGAAAGCAAACAATAGAGAGCAGGATGAAAGGGAGCCAGGCTGTAGTCACTGGTCTTTATCGTTTTATTCTTTTGCCCCTCTGAATCCCATTAACCAGTGCCCGGCAATGGTTTTCGAATGCACATAGAGTTGTTTTGACTTGTTAGATCATACATGACCGGTGCAATGTGTTGACATCCGTATCTTGGAAATGAGCGGGTCGACCCGGGTCTGATGTTGGCACTGTATGCCAATCAGACCCAAGCTGTTCAAGACTGTTTCAAGGACCAGTTTGACCCTGATCGACACGGATCAGTGAGCCATTCCCACGTCCTCGGTTTTAAATAGATTTTTTGGCGAGAGGGACGGGTATTAGAACGCAGAAGACACTCCTTTAGACCTTCATTATCTCTGTGGTAGTATTAACCATCAGTCTTCTATGCTTATCTACAGCTGAAAGAAGCAGGCTTAAATAAGCTCATCATGAAGGGCGACGCTGTACTAGGATGTGTCCTGGACATGGTGCAGCTGGCGGGTGATGTACGATCTTTGGTAAAACTTGCATCCCTGCTGGACAATGACTCCCTCTCAATGCATGAAGCTGTTGCAATACTAGAGAGCTGCTTCAGCGACACACCACTGCACTCTAGGTGGACAAGGGAGCGTCGTCATAGATCCTTCCTTCCATCAGCTCTTAGATTTTAACTATCACTGCTCTGAACAAGCTCAACAAGTTATTTACCTGCCAGGTATTAAAAGTTTTGTGCCGTTTTTTTTTATACACAATATGCATTTTTGTTAGTCTTTACATTAGCCTACTGAGTTTCACTTTTCAGATAGTTTGAATATGCCATTTTTTAGAACTACATTATTTTCTGCTTTATGGTAAAGCTCTTCTTTTTCTTGCTGATGATAATATCTCTACATTTCCACACTATGCGGAAATAAGGAATTGTTTTATCATAATTTTTCCCATCTTCCAAAAATGTATGCTGTACGTTCTGACAAAAAAAAAAAAACATTTTAAATTCCACTTATTTCCAGCTAAAACTTCCAGATATTTTAGTTTTGAATCACATTAGATATATTTAAAAAAAAAAAAAGCAAATAATAAAACAGCAGATTTTGAAAGATGGCTTGTATTTCAGCAGCATAGTCAAGGATTGT